AGTAGCTTAAATGAATGCTTCTCACTTCCAGATTGGAGCTCCTGATTCTCTCATTAATTTCTTTGCTGTAAATGTAACTCATGTTCAATTCCTGTACACATTCCAGAAGGTCTAATGATAGTAAACCCCTCTCCCACGTCATTAACCTAATGAAATGCAAAACAGTCTAACAAAACTCAGTGGAATTGCAAATACACAGTTCTGTAGGATATATGAATAAAACTTGTGACAACTGACTTTTCTGTTTCCTCCTTATAGAAATGGCAATGGAACAAGTTCCAATTTATTTGAACTTCTAGTCGTAACATTTATTATTAATGTCCTGTGTCTGGCCACAGTGTACCGAAGGCAGTAATGTGAATTCCTGACAGTACAGACTTTAAGTAACAAAGATCATAATCTTACTATTTTGTTCCTTGCTCTTTTATTTTTAGGCAATTCTAATGTATTTTTACCTAAAGTCCACATGAAAAACAGATAATTTGAAAACATTTTCCTATAAAGCATACTATTTAGCAGCTGTTCTGAACTTTTCATTTGCCTGCTTAAAGGTAGATAAGCCAAAATCTTTAAAGGGTTATATCCTTATCAAAATTTTAAGTCTCTACTTTTCTTTTGTTGTATTGCTTGCAAGGTTATACTCAGAAAGTAGTTTCTGTTGTTCCCTGTTTCTTACTTGGCTCATTCCATAAAATATTTCAGTTAAGGAGCTTTCAGACTTGGAGAAGGCTTAGGGCTCCAAGCATGTTGGGACTGAAACCTCATGGCAGAGTGAATACCTAGAAGTGCTTTTTGACTTTTTCCTCAGATTTTGTTATTTTTTTCTATTTTCCTATTTGTTATCCTGCCATTCCCCTTGCACCTATGGTGCGGTGTAGAATTCAGCTTATTTTCTTGGATTACTCACTCACTAGAGTGTAATGTTTCTTGCCCCATAACCTGCAGGACTTTTACTTGTGTGAGTGACTTTTATCAAGTCACCAGAAAGAAGGCTGCATCTCAAGTAGCTCCCTCCATCACACCATATACCATAACCATTGTGCAGGCTTTAATTCTGACAGGGCATTGCAACAGCAAAAAATGTGAGGCCTTGAGATAAATTTCACCCTTCCGTGTGAATACTGACTTTTGCTGTACATTTAGGTCAGAGTATGGATCAGTGATGAGGTAGACTTTGACTCCTGCACCATTTGCTTGCAAGCACTGATGTATGGAGCTAAAGAGCTCAGGAAGCTGCACTCTGTCTATTTTGGGTGTCCCATGATGTGGGTGAATCCACTGTACTGAGTTAGAACAACTTTTTTCCCCAAGTCAGCTGATTGAAAACATGGCATTTTTGAAAGATTATTCTGCTGAGAGTTTGCTACTTAAATCTGGGGACCAGGCTTTCCAGGATGGTAGCCACAGCTTGGGATGCTATTTTCATTGCCTATATGAAAAAGGCCTATATTGCCTTTTTTTTTTTTTTTTTTTAATTAAGCTGATGACACAGCCTTACTCATCTGTTTTCTCTGCTTGTAGATGATTTTTTTTTTTTTTTTTTTTTAATTGAAGGGGTTCAGGAGAGTATTCTTGGTCTGAAAATCACTGGATGTAGACTTTGCTGCGTTGGTTACCTGTAAAGTATTTGCTGTGGTTCTAATACAACCAGGGTCCATTTTGAAAGGGCTGTCCCTGAGGTTTTCAGTATTTGCAACTCTCTAAATTCTGTATAAATATGAACAGAAATAAATGTGCTGATCCTTTGGTTTTAAATAAGCCTTTAAAACAGAGCTCACTGAGATGGTTCTGCTATAGAAGACATGACCTTTCTGGGAGCCTGGGGATGTGTTAGCATGCTGTTGGCAGGCTGAACATAGTCTTTGGGAATATTATGTTACACCAGCAGTAAAATCTACCTAAGGCTTACTGCCATATTGATTCCTTAGTGGCTATATTCATAAAAAGGATACATGGTAGGGACTGGAACATGACTCTTTGGTACTAAGCCATGATTTGAGCTTTCATCTTTGTGTTCTCTAGCATCATGAATGAGTTTTAAACTACAGGCTGTGGAAGGCTGTGCAAGGCTTGAAGAAAGACATCCCTTTGTCTCAGAATAGGACTTGGTTCAGAGGAAAAAATTGAGATATGAGAGCTTGAAAAGTGGGTTATTGCTGTTCAACGATTTTTCTGCCCTCTGATTTCAGACTTCCTGTGCATCATTTTGATGACACTATTTCACCATTAGTTGTGGAGCAGCAGGAATGAAGTGATTTGGAAGACTTCTTGCGGTGAGCCGAACCCCTGCTCTGAATATTTTTCTTCTGTCTATAATATATAGTAAGTGAGTAATCCAAAACCTGGGTTACATTTAGCAGAATTTTCTATGTGGGCTGGAGTTTTGTGCTGGGACAACAAGTATAGGCTGTTCAGGAGTTATTTAACCAGGGACAGTCTGTCTCAGCACACCACTAGTGTGTTATGCACCTCAGCTACTTAAAAGAGCATGCTTGTGCTGGCCAGGGGAGGGTTCATTTTCTTCCAGGAGCTATGTTTTGGCTTGTGCTGAACACAGGGCTGATAACATAGAGATGTTTTTGTTATTGTTGAGCAGGGCTTGCATAGAAGTGAGGCCTTTTCTGCTTTCCGTGCTGCCGTGGCTGACAAGGAATTTGGGTGTGCATGGGATGTTGGGAGGAGACACAGCTGGGACTGGTGACCCCAGCTGACCAAAGGAATATTCCAGCCCATATGACATCCTCCTCAGGATATAAAGTGGGGGGAAGGAGAAGGAAAGCAGGGAGACATTTGTAGTGAAGGCATTTGTCTTCCCAAGTCACTGTTATCTGTGATGGGACCCTGCTCTTCTGAGGATGACTGAACACCTGCCTGCCCATAGGAACTGGTGAATTAATTCCCTGTTTTGCTTTTCCTGTGTGTCTTCTGCTTTCCCTTTTAAACTCTTATCTCAACCCACAAATTCTCCAGCTTTTATCCTTCCCATTCTTTCCATGACCCTGCTGGTGGGTCATGGAGTGAGTGAGTGGCTGGGTGGGGCCTGGCTCCTGGCTGGAGTTAAACCATGGCAGTACTGTTAAGAAACCTATATGTGAAAGAAAATGGCTTTTCTACTTCTTGTTACTTGGCACCAAAAGGGCTAGCAAAGTCCAAAAGCATAGCACAGCTGATTTGGGGATGCTCCTACTGGGGTACAGGTGCTGTCACTTGCTGTGTTCTTTCAGTGCAGCATTGCATGTGACACTCCATGAGAAACGAGTACTGGTAAACAAAAACAAAAAAAACCCCAAAAAAACCAAAAAAAAATCCAAAAAACCCAAACAAACAAAAAAAAACAAGGGATAGGGGAGAGCTTCTTTTTTTTTGTTGGAAACTGTAAAATTCTTGGAGATGTCAACATCTTTGGGATCAATGCCCTACTTTAATTAATAAAATGTATGTGCTGCCTTGGAGGTGGATATCAAGTCTGAAAAGGATGTATCCTATGAAAAACATTATAGTATTGTAAGGAAGCATTGTCTGCTTTAGTTGAAACGTGGCCTTTCTAGTGCATGTGATTCTGAATGGAGAGGGGATCCACCCATTTCATCATGATCATCTCATTCCACAGGAGCACAAATCCTTTGCGATCAAAGGCAGGGAATAGAATAAAATCCCTTCCTTCTCTGTGAATCAATCCAGTGACAATGGACTGCAGTGTAGAGCTGTGATGTTGCAGCTGATTTCTTTTCAGCTACTGGGATTCAAATTTTTTTTTGCCTTATGGAATGCATCTGAACACTTCCAAGCATATTTCCAGAGAAAATGCATATTTGGAAAGGAAATCTAACATGAAAATACATGTCAGCAGCTGAATTTAAATTTTGTGTATTTTGCAGACTAATTGTAGTGATGCAGTGCCCAGTAAGCAATTATAGTTGCTAATTGCCTGTAAACAGGACTAATATTTTGTTTCCTGCTTCATATGATTGTTGTGAAGCTGCATACATGAAACGACTATTGAGTTCCTAAATGCATATTTTTGTTAAGTGTATACTGCATTTTTCATGAAAATGGGCACTAAAATAAAAAGTAGAATAATTGTCTTGCAAAATGCATGCAAAATGTGAAAGTGAGGTGTTCTGATAAAAAAAAAAAAAAAAAACAAACCAAAAAAACCACCCCAAAACCAGGACATAAGTAGTTTGGGAATTAAGGTAAAGCTTCTCTTCATGGGAATTAATTTCTCTCCTTGTTCTGCCCTCATCACTCCTGCTGTACCTGAAACCTGTTCAGGTGTTGTATTTGAAACTCTGTGGGTCACAGGGCAGCAGCTATTGCTCACACCACTGGGACCTGTGCAGTCAAAAGCTGCCTTCCTGGTGCAACATAAAACAGCTCTTAAAAAAGCACAAGCTACTGAGCCTGGTGTTTATCTTGAGAAATTCAGCTTCCTCCCATCCCCTGTCAGTCTTCACCTTTCTGTTTGAATATTATCTGCTGCTGAGTGTTCTCACTTCCAAACTACTTGGAACATGAGTCTCCATAGAGCAAATTATTTAGAATTTGGTAAATTCTAGACCTGGTAGCAGCTTTTCAAATACAAATCAGAGGGTAATATATGTTCTTTTGGTTAGGACTCTTGCAGTTTTAATAGAATGTGACAGCAGTCCTGGCAACAGAAAATCACAGTGACTGCAAGTCTCCTGAGAAATGAGAAATCTGGGGTAGTGCCTGCTTTCCCAGATTCCAACTAGAACTTTAATGCAAATCTACTAGGAAAGAGGATCCTGTGGCCTGGAAAGAAGTCCCAGTGGTCTGGCACCAGTGCCAGTGCTGCTCAGGCTCTGCAGAGCCCTGCATGGAGGCACCAGGCGGTCTGCCAGTGTTATCTGATCTGCCTTTGGGGTGGGTATGTACAGAGGACTGGGAGCCTGGGTACTAGGAGCTGGAGAGCAGGGGCTAATATTTGGGATTTTGTGCTCATAGAAACAGACAGACCAGAGAGAAACAGAAAATCATTATGTATTGAAACAAGATTCTTTATTTCAGTGCAGTACAAAGAAATGGGAGTTACTTTGCTTTGAATGAAAGTACTGAACCTAAAAACTGGAGCAGATAAAATATGTTTGTGTAGTAATAGGAATCCTTGGATATCAAAGCAGTGAAAAATGATCTCTATGATGCTGCAGCATTAAAATCAATATTTACATATCTTTAAATTAATGAATTACTACCTTGATTTATGTTATATCATTGGCAACTTAGTTTCCATCAGTATATTACCACTGACAATGCTGTCTTAGCTATCAGTCTTTTAGCAATTTCCTTGCATTAAAAAAAAATTTCCTGACATTGTACTATTTATGTTGGTACAGAAGTAACACTCTGTACCAAGCCAGCTCTCCAAAACATCAGCAAAATCAGTCTCTTTTCTTTTTTCTTCCAAACAAATTAATTTGATCAATTTTGTTAATTGCATTGAACTTTGGTTATGAATAGTAATACAGTAAACAGTGGGCCCAGTTCACAATCAAGTAACAAACTCATTGTATTAAAGTCACGAGTATGAACTTTAAGTATTGTTTAAAGGGAAAAAAAGATTGCTACATTGTCATCCTGCAGCACCAAAGACAGTGGCTGCTCAAGATTGGATTTTTTCAATTGCAGCTTGCATCAGGACAGGTCATCTGTTTTCCTAGTAAATACAGATTTACATTTTCAAAGGTACAAAGCATACCAACACAGTGGCTCCCAGGAGACTCAATGGCCCCATTTACAGATTCAGGGATAATGTTTTTTTTTAATAAATAAACATTAAGTACACAGGTATTGCTGTGAACCAAGCCCATTGTCTAAAGGAAGCACATTTCTTGCCAAATTAAGTCTTTACATAAGAACATGTTTTTATAATGGATCCGAACAGCTGCTGTGCAAGTTATTAAAAGCATGTGTCTTGCAGCTTGCACTTTGTACCAACACAAAAAGATGAAAAAACATGCAGTAAAATGTAGCATTGTTTAGAAAATAATGTGTAAAAAACACATTCATTATCTTATATTAAAGCATTTACACTGCATAGGCATTCATATAAGGGTATAGTATAATAAAACTTATCAAATATACAAGCATGCAGCAGTTGCCTTATATTCACAGTTCTAGAAATGACCACACATTGATTTCTTCAAATATAAATTGGATTATCCAAAATAGATTTTGCAGCCACTCTCCTTTGCAGTGGCAAACTATGTTCTCATGTGCATTGCAGATACTGACCTATATAACAGGCCTAAGCTATGCCGCTGTATTGTACACATCTGTGATAAATACTGTGTTTTGGAATAGGAAGGATAATGAGAAGTGATTCATACTTCTCATAGCAGAACTTGGAGACTACACAGTGCTTGAACTGAACAAAATATATAAGCATATTAATTGTATTCTCCTTAGAGAGTAATTCTGTAACCTTGCCATGTATCTAGCTACTGCATAAGCTGGCCATGCAGTTTTCAAAATAAGTTTAGACAGATTTTTATATTTGACATTTATTTTATCAGAAGAGGTATAGTAGGAAACATAGAGTACATACCCTTTTTGCTCTGCAAACTCTACACAGGACTCGTACTTTTAGATTGTGTTGGGAAATACAATGCAGTGTCAAAGTCACACTCAGATTATTTCAAATACATTTGCAGAGAGATGATCTTTCTTCATTTGCTCTTTTGAAGGTGGTGGTGTTATATATGATGGTGGACCATCTTAACTGTCACAAGGTGACAAGTACCCAGGTTAGACCCACTCTGTGGCCAAATGCCATCTGCAGGATAAAGTTGAGGTCATGTGGCTTGAAGTTGTCTGTAGTTTTGACTCGCTTGTTATTGCCTAGCTTGGCAGGTTAACCTGGAGTGTGACTTCAGGCCAACAGCAAACAGAATACCTGGAGACAAGGCTAGTGTGAGTTGTGAAAGGTTTGCAAAACTGAGCTCTAGATCCTGATATGTGTTTTGGGTGTGCCAAGGTGAAATTGGTCTGAGGAGTATGACTTTAAACCCTTTCCCTGTCCAGGTATTTTTCCAGTAGTGCTGCATACTGCTTTTGCCCTGACTTCCCTTGTCTTCAATAGTAATTTATGTGTCTTCTAACAGTGTGTGCATGCACTTCCTTCTTCTGAGCACTTCAGGTAAAGCTAGTGGAAGTAACTTTGTAGGATGTTACAGCACCAACAATGCAAGTTGCAGGGATTCATCCTTGAATACAAAGCAGCAGCAAGGGATTCAGAAACAGCATTCAGGAAATAGTTTGAAAACAAAAAAGACAGAAGCAGAGATGGTGGAAACATTTGCTAATTTGCAAAGTGGAATATGGGAAGGGAAGAAAAGTGGGGCAGTGATTGCTGTTCTATCTATTAAGGAAAAAAAAAAAAGGTATAATCCTCTCTGGAATATTTCATTCAGAGATAAAACACTGCCTTTTTTTTTTTTTTTTTTTTTTAAGTGAGCTTTGGCCCACATGCAGTGAGGAAATGACAGGATGAGTAGATGGCTTTGGTGTGTGCTATCAGAAATGGTGACACTGATGTCCCTCTTTGCTGCAGCCAGGAGTCCACTTCAGTAACTCATTATTTTGAGTCACTTTGTGTTCATATTTGCATTTTCTAGTAAAGTATATGTGGCCCTTTACAGAAAGCTGTACTATTTCCTGTCAGCCTTATTTAAGAGTAGGACAGCAGTGGTACAAGTGGAACGCTAGAGATGTTCCAAGCTCTTCTAGCAAAGATACTAATTTTTCCTTTGAGGACACGTGTCTGAGTGTATGTGTGTGAGGATCCTCAAGTCTGTATTTGGAATCTGAGCTGGATGGGGTACCTGAATGCCTTTATTTTATTAACTAGCATTTGGAAACTGGGCTTGCAGCTTTTTTTGGTTGGCTTACTTGCTGCCACAGATGTTGCTTTTCTGCCTTTCTCCAGACGTATTCAATAAGATCTCTGTGGTGACATGTGAAGACACAACCGCTGTGAGAAGTGACTAGTTTTCAATGATTATTTGGCAGTAAAATCTGTATAAATATACACAGAATCCCATTTTTTAGCCTACCTTTTAAGCTGTATACATTGAGAAATGGATATAAGACTTTGAATGCTGAAACCTTTGTACAGCACATCAAAGCAGCTCTCTGATTCTTCACTGCATCTCTGCATACTGAGAGCAGCAGTTCAGATGCTCTCTGAACTGTCCATAAAAGTAACAGTTTTGGTTTATAAATTCCAGTCCCATTAATTTGAGGTACCACATTAGCCTTTCATTTACCTTCCCAATTGTCATTTGTTGGCAAAAATGAGAATGCCTTGTGATTTTGATCCTGATTTCTTATGTATTTTAGTATTTGTACCGGGTTCTTTGGATTCTTCGCTGAACCTGCCCTTCATTTTTCCTTTTTACAGGGAAAATTCTTACAGCCTAGTTTAGAAATGTCTTTGAAGAATCTGGAGATTATTAAAAGCAGATGTCACAACTGTCTTGAGCATAGTGAGAAGGAGAAAAAGGAGCTCTCCTGAGAAGTCTGACAGTTTGCCACAAAGAAATTGGTACAAAAGCTGTGAGCCCCAAGTTCCCACAGAGATGCACCATCTTGTGAGAGTTAATAGAAGTCAGATGAGTAAGATCTTTGTTTCTTTTAGAAACCTTATCAGCTCTATTTCTAGTAGCAACCTGGCCTGTTTCCTCAGAAGAGGGAATGTTACCTGCTTCTTCCACCTCTCTTACATAGTGAAGAAATTAGTTCAATTCATAAAGAGGAGGGCTATTTGACCTCTCACCTTTTCATGCTGAAGTTAGCCACACATTTCCATCATTGCAAATCTGGCTGTGTAGTAAAGAATGGTTTATTCTAGAATAAAGTAAGCTCACTAGAAAAGAGGCATTTATATCATCAGAAGGACTTCTACCTCATTTAAAGCTTGCCAAGCATTCTCCTCACCCCTGTCCTCCATCTCTTTTTCCAGATTTTGCATATGTGTCTTTCCAGGTCAATAATTATATGAGGCATCTGGAATTATGTGCTTGTCCTCTATTATACCTTTAGTATCTCATTAGATGAGGGATCTCTCAAAGGGCAAGAACACGTCGAGCAGCCAGCAGTTTTCAAAAACAGCAGGTGACTAAAAATACTTCATTTTCTTTGCTATTCAGGCAATGACAAATGGAAGCATGGACTGGGCTGCTGAAGAAGTAGGAGACAATAAGAGAACAAGTTAGATGAGAAGTCCTCTGACCTTGAGAAAGAAACAGCTATCACTTCCAAAGGCATCTTGCTTTTTTGTCAATTTTCAAGTAAAACACTGAATACACATACAGTGTCACTTGAAGAAATACAAATAAAGAATACTTGCAGAGTAATTTAAGAGATTTTTGTGAATTAATTGAACATCGAGCAAATCTACTAGCAAATATTTGTTATCAGGTCAGTCAACAAAAAGTTGGTCTACATAATTCCATTTGAAGAGCTTCTCCTTTTACATTTTATATGCTGTTTTGCTTAGACACTACATATAACAGTGCATGCCTTTAATCTTTAATAGAAAGATTCTTTCCCCATTAAAACCTCCATTAGGTCCCTCAAAGTTACATTGGAAAATAATTCTAGCTTCTATGTGTCTTATAAACTTTATGCAGTTAGCTCTTCTGGGAGGATTCCTTTTCCTCATTTGAGTGTGTCAAGCTGGATTGCCTGATACTTGTGCTTAGTTTTCACCAGTTTATAAGTAGTTCAGAATGGTATCTGTCTGATGACTATCTGTACATTGAGAGAACAAACAAATCACAAGCAAATGCTGTGTGTGATGGGAAATTTGCAGGCATCTTGCTATGTTGTCAATTTTTTCTTATATTACACTAGAAACTTCTAATGTCCAAGGAGTCCCATTTCAAATAGTGCCTTACTACTTGGCACCTGTTAAACAGAAATCAATGGACTTTTATTCATGCTAATTTCTTTCTGTTTAGCATAAGTTCGTAGTTGTTAAAGGTTCCTTCTTCATTCTAAAAACAATCATGGGAGTTTACTCATAAAGATGAGCAAGGAGGATGCATAGGAAACACAGGATTTTGCAGAGAGAGGAACAAAATAAAAATGCAGTCCAGAGCTTTTATGTCAGCATCCAGTCCATTAACTCAAGCTGATCCAAGTTTGCCTCTGGCTCTTTTTGCCCCTTCCTCTCTCTCCTTACTACATTTTATGCTGTTACAAGAGGGATGGATTTTACTGTATGAGATTCAATGTCCACCGTATGTTCATGCAACACCATTGTGATACATGTAGTTCATACCGTTCATGTTTGTGGCCATGCAACATAAAATAACCTAAAATAATCCTCTGGAATGCTGCAGTTTCCAGCCATTTTATTATATTTCATTATGTTCTGTAGCCTGAATTGGCCATCAACCTTCTCTCTGTTCCTAACAGGAGAATGATCATAGTTATTTTATAGGGTTAAAAAGTTATTGAGTCTTCCTATAAAATCGCAGTGTAGAATTTGTTGTGAACAAAATAGAGCTGACTACATTACTATAGCAGAATAATTTGCAGCCAGAATTGAAGCATGTTCTTAAAATCTATTTTTAACAGTGTTTTCAGAAATAGGCTGCAGTACCTTGATTTTTGTCCTACATATTTTTGAACTGTAGGGAAAACCTGACATTAGCATGTTAATGCAGTTGTATCACATGGATACGTAATACAAATGTGTTTTCATGAAAACCCATTTTAAGTTACTGTGTTGAACCACTCAATACAGCTGGATTATTTTCAGATTCTCTGTAATTTCCTGGTCGCAAGGTATTCCAAACGAACAATTCTCTCAGACTTTTGGAAGCCCATGCAGGATTAATCTAAACAGGAGGTACAATAGAAAGCTCCACTTTGTTATAGGACTGGAGTTTATCCATTGACTTCAGCACTCGTCAGAGTGTAAAGCACATGAGTTCTTCTTTTCTTGTCTAAACTATTTTGAATGAGGTCTCTTTTACATGCTAGTTTGGCAAGCTTCTAAGGCATTTGTGCAAAGTGATGATCCAAGAGCAACCTGATTCAATACTGAGAAAATCATAAATAACATCCAGCAGTAATTAAAGTGACAAACTACAGCTAAGAAAATTGATCTCCTACAGTATCAGTTGAGCTGCTATACCTTGCAGTGTTAGAAGTGGAGCAGTGTTAGAAGTTGTACCTTCAGCTTGGGAGGCATCATTGTGAATTTTAAACACTGACTGAAATATGATAGATGTAGATAGAGAAAGACTAAGAGTGGAAGAAAAACACAGCACCAGAAATTACCATCTGGAAACATACTAAACATTTAGTCAGTATATTTGTATTAAAATGAAGAGTTAATTTTGAAGACCGGAAAGATTTGAAGATAACTTAGTGCTCTCTATAAGGCCATTCTCAGGAGTCAAGTGTATAATCGTCTGAGACAGGAATATTTACAACTTCAGACTGAAGAACTGGAAGAACCAGTTGATGTCTTTACCATCTTGATGAGAGTGCGTACACTCCTTCCAGTAAGTACATGCTAAAGTCACAAAAAACCCTATAAGTTGTCTGGATTTTTTTCTTAGATCAGGGTTAACTGGCAGGTAACAGAACTTATTTGTTCAGTTTTTATTTGTACAGATCTCAAAAATGTAGTAGAATTTAGGTAGCTGGTAGTATAGCAAATAATATGTAGGTCTTAAAAATATAATTTGGAGGCTTTTTTACTCGTTTCTCAGGCTCTCTTCTGAACCACCAGCACAGCTTGGATTTATTGGAAGGAATACATGGCCCCACATTGGGTAAAACCTAAATCTGTTCCTGTTAGGGAACAGGCGTTGTGCTGTAGCACGTAATCCATACCTTTCTGGTCTTCAAACAAGAGGTGAGAGTAGCTGTGGATACTAGTTCATGCTTCAGGCAGAAAAAGTAGCTGCCCCGAAACAACTTGAGACTTAACATGCAAGATCTGGAAAGTAGCCACTGCATGATATTTGGACTTCAACCACAGGAATTTCTGTGATTATGGTTTTGATAGCAGCCAGATATTGGGGGAATTCAGATTTTATACCTTGGCAGGACAGAATAATTCAACTGTGTTGTAGATTATTTGATAATGAAACCAGGAGTAAATTGTGAAATTTAGCTCTTGAACTGGGATTGGATAAAAATGCTCCAGTTTAGATGTGTTTGTGGTTTGGACCAACATCTTGCAGTCAGTTTTTGTCTTTTTGTGACTCTAGTTTTAGGTACTAAACTGTAAACATCACAAAGTCTTCTTACTTAGGAAGTTTGCTCTATGCTTCCGTACTAGATACAAGATTTTTAGCAGGACTTAATCTGAGGAACAGTTAAACAAAAACTTGTATGAATAAGGCACTAGTAAATGTTTGCAGCAAATAACAAGTATAGTCTATATTCTTTAAGAATAAAACTGTTCTGTTTAGGAAATCGCCTTTAATATGACAGAGTTACCAATGCCAGTTAGAAGGGCCTAGAGAAAGTGCATCTTTTGGGTTATGCCTGTGAGGTCTGTGAGAAACCCCTGAATGCAAATCCCTGTTAAATTAGGAAATAGCCTGTGCAGTAGTGATACTCAGGAGATTGGAAGCAAGAGGAAACTAGTTTAGATTCTGATCCCTGCTAAACTAGTGTGAAATCAGCTATGGATTTGCTTCTGATCTATTACAGTGGTAGAAGGACCTGAAGCCAAAATTGAGGCTGTTTTAGCAAATCTAGTTAAACAGCAACAGCGCTGGCCTAGGCCAAAGAATTGGTGTTAATCCCCTTAGACAGTTTCAAAAAATAATCTGGCATTTTAAATTTCCTATTTGCTGAAGTTCAAGGATGCATTTTTTCTTTTGGCTAATGTAATAGGTCGAGGCCTTATGTACTACTTTGGAGCTGACACCATTCTAAACAGTTATGACAGCATTGATCTGTACTTTATACCAAATGAAATTTGAGTCTGCCATTCCATTTATAGGATGGCTGGGCAGTATTTCGCGTTGAAAGTTGTTCAAAACCACCCAAGTTCTTCCATTCATAAAACCAAAACATACTGCTACTTTTAAAAAACACATTAAAGTATCTGGTCTTTGAGGGGGGATAATTGAAGCACCAAGAATCTGTTTATCTAGCCAATAAGAAAATATTTGCAAACTAACAGATCTTGTTAGTATTCATGATCTGCATTTTCCTAGGATCTGTCCAATAAAACTATTTTACCATTAATTTGTTATACTAAATCAGTCAATGGTCAGTCTCATTTAATCACTAAATCCTGCTTTGTAAACAACTTAACTTTATTATCTGACAAACTTGTGTTCCACTCAGATCCTCCATTTTTTTATGTAAGATGTCTTTTAAAAAACTTAACACATTTGCAGTATCCATAATGCAAGAGGGAAAAAAAATCCCCTGCATTGATTGACTACTGTATATTATTGCCATTAGGTGCTACAATTAACAACTCCAGGCAGTTGTTTTTTTTTTTTTTGTTGTTGTTGTTTGTGTAAATTATTTTGTATTTTATGTAAGGTCATGTGGTATTAAGTTTATCTCAAATGTGGTATTAAGTTTATCTTTAAGATCACATATCCATAGGGACCTCAGAAACTGTAAAACCATCTCAACCAGCTTTTAAAAATGTGATGAGCTTTTTGTTTGTTCATTTTGTGGGTTTTTGGCTCACAAGACTAAAGTTATTGGTGGTATAACTCAGCTGAAATTTTCACCAATAATTAATCTGGACTAATATTCATTTCTTTAACAAAACAAAAAAAATCACAGCAAGTAAGCTAAGTGCTGGGAATCTCTCTCCCATACATGCTATGCTATACATACTGAAATACAGAAGAAAATCCAGAAATTTCTCCTCACAAAGATCTTTCTTTATAGCAACACAGGAAAACTTTTGCTTTTAAAATACTTGTTTCTTATCAGTATGTCAGAGCATATGCTTTTCTATGTGTGTGTGAGATTAATACATGGCATGTGTTTATCTGAATACTAAAAAATGTTATTGACTATTGGAGCTGTGCAAAATATTTTCTGTAGAAGCTGACAATCTTAAAAGTTTTTTTGATTAATCATAATTTTCAGTAAGATGATGTAAATATTTGCAACTGCAAAATAAATGAAAATTCTTTTGTCAAAAGTGTGCCTTCTGGGGTCATAATTAGTCTTGTGTGGTATCTCTCAGCTGACAATTTGAAGTTGTGCATATGCTAATTTATTAAAATTTCCTAAACTGTGCTCTCTGTGAAATAAGTTTGAATATTTTTACCCTATAAGTAAAAGATACCCTTTGAAAGTCAAGGTGGATTTTTAACTTCTTCCTAAGATTAAATGAATACATTGGAATATAGTTGGGTTTCTTTCTCTTTTTTGCCCTCTGCTTTTGAAGTGTGCCTTCAGAAGATGAGAACAAAAGTCATTATTTTGGAGAAGGTTCTGTGAATATTTAACGAAATGCAAAATGCAGTTTGCTTTCATGGCTGTGTTTCTTCAATGGAAGCAGAGGCATAGTAATGAAACATTTTTATTATGAAACTATGCTATTACATCTCTGACTGGAGAAAAATCAGTCGTCAAACATTTGTGTGTATTTCTTCAAAGAGTAAATTCGCACTTCTATAGAACAGTTGCTTCTTGGTGCAACTTAGTTGTGATTGTAGAGGCACACTTTTGACACCAACTAAAACTATGGTCTAAATGAAGGCATCACTTTCTTTCCATGCAGGTGTATTTACCTATATGGATGACATTTTAACAAAAAAATGTCACTTCACAATTTTTATTTCTTTTTAAAGTAGAAGTTAGGAAAGCAAATTCTTCAGGTGTAAAAATCAACAACATTACTGTATGATCATTTAACAACAATTATTGCATGATTTTGCATAACCCTTGGCCTTTCTAAAAAGCAGTATTTGATTTTGAGATGTGCGTTGGTTTAATAATGAGTCATCACATATCTGCTGACTCGCACGTGCTAGATATTTAACTTGGGCAAGAAATTTTCTTCAGATTACAAAAACATAAAAAAATCAGTTCTAGGTTTTAGCTATTAACCCAGAGATTTTCACGGTTAGATAAAATGCATGTAATTGGAAATAACTATTATGTTGAAAGGAATCCACAGTACTTTGATAAAAAATCTGAGAGGCTTTAGGGAATATGACAAACTTGATGAGGCCTACTCCAGCCTCTCAAAAATTTCTCATACTGTTAGGAGATGAAAGAACTACCAGTCCTGTAACTCCAATGCATTTTAAGGCTACTTAGAAGACATGGAATAGTGATACTCAAAGTAAATACTCAAAACCAGTAAGTATTTTTATGACAGGGTAGTTATTAAATGGGAATTATATATATGGGTGAAACTTTGCTTATTTGTTTACATTTTCTCCTACAGTAAACCTACCATCTATCTGTATGTCAATAAGTGATCTTAGAATGCCATTTCATAGCTTGAATCTTCATTTTGCCTCAAGGTTTGCTCTAGCCAGGTTGGCAAATGGGGAAAGTCCTAAAACAGAAACACTGACACATGCTGATAAATTCAAAAGTGGAACATTAAAATTTACATGGAAGTGGAAATGACGTTCAGTGTCAGAAGTAACAAATTTGAAAGTCTCAAATTATTCATATAGAGAATATAGGTTAGACAGATTAAATGTAAGTGTGCTTTTTCCTAAAAACACCCCCCAAACCAAACTTTTTTTTTTTTTGCTTTTTCTTTAAGTATTTTGTCTGTAAATATGAAAGAATGCTACACCCCAACATAACTCTTCATTGCCATACTAAATGGTAAAATAGTCTTTCTAATTCACATTGCTCATGGAAGTCTTATTTGAAGTTCCTTTATTGAGTTTGTGGTTAAAGCAGTTTGGGATTTTTGTTGGTTGTAAACTTTTGGCATAATGTGAATACCAGTCCCTTTCAAAAACAGCCTTGAGTTGCTTAATGATGCTTGTGCTGTTCCCCGCGTCTGCTTGGTTGATAACAAGGCCAGCTCCAGCATTCTGCGTAAAAGCATTTCCTACCCAATCAAAATTACCTGCAAGCAAAGGCAGGAATAAACAGTGAGTTTCTAACATTAACAAAAGAACCAATAGAAAACCAATCTCCTTAAAGGCAATCCAGAATGAAACACTACCATTTTCCCCAGTGCAGAGATGGAAATAAGTTGGTTTTTTTTAAAATACCAGCAGGAAAAAAAGGTCCAATACGTACCATGTGTAGTGAAGATTGTTTCTGGAAGTTTTAACATCTCTAAGTCTTCAGAAGTGAAAATGGGTTCTTCTGTTTCTTCAAAACTAATTTGTTTTTCCTTTTACATCTATTACATTATTACTCAATTTACTTTCCTCACTGGCCTTTTCAGCGCTATGTACAATTTTTTTTTGTTTTGCTGTATAAACAATTCAGAGTGCCAAACCAGTAGATATTTTACAACTTACCTGCTGACAGATAATATTTGAGGAAAGAAAAATAGATTTTGCTGGTTTATGCCAGTTATTACAATCTTTGTGGAAATCTATGGTAACAAGCACTTTGAATTCTGCAGGACAAAAAGGTTAATTGGACTAATGGAAAACGGGTAAATCAAGTGCTTCAGCTACCTCTTTTTTAATTCCATTAAAACTGTAAGTATTTTAAATTATACACTTAAAACACATGAAGTATTTTGGACAAACAAGGCTGTTACTTCAGCAGGAAATGTTAAGAATTCTAAAGTTACCAAGGATGGTAAATTGAAACCTCATCACAAGGGACAATTTTTCCTATACTTTCAAGTAAAAGTAAAAAAACGAAAAACCTTTGTGAGGTGCCACACAGCAATTTTACTTAAATACACTATTAACCCAAAATGCCAGTTAGATATGTACCTAATCTTAGGAGGGTGTCATTATGGTAAATGGAGTAAGGTTTTGGATGATGAGGATGAACAGCATCTGTACAGTATTTGCAGGATTGACTACAGCTTTAGTAATAACATGGGGAAAGGAGAACACTCCATCTTCAAGGGATTGCAAAACAAGAGAATATGCTAATAATTATACCTGCTTCATAAATTGTGTTATATTTGTGCTTTCAGTCTGTTTTAGGATACTGAAAGCAGAATATTGGTCTTGAGAAACTGAATCGGAAGGGAAGAAAAGGTTTTGAATGAGAAGAGTCTCAAAGTTCAATCATCATCCAGGTTCCCAAAGAAATGAACGATTATCTTCACTTAAAGAACATATCAGCTGTAGATTGTTCATCTACAAATGGTTATTTCAGGCTTTTGGATACGAACTAGAATGTCTTGAGATGTGGTTACTTACCAATATACGCAGCTCCATCAGTCACCATGTATTTGTTACGATTCAATTTGGGAAGGGAAGTGTTCTTCTGTTCTTTAAGAAAGCAGGCACTCTCTTCCTCAAGGTCAAAGAATTTCTGCCATAAAATAGAAGGAAGCACAGTTTATTGAGAATTGCTCAGTAAGAGACAGAAAAAATACAGTCTGTTCTCTAATCTTTATTGAAAATTAGTTGGGAGTACAGAACAGCTTATTGCCAAGCATTAACTTTAATAAAATGCTGCACATTGTATTTCTAATTAAATTCACATAGTTTGTGATACTCCTGCCTTGGCATTCTGAACTATACAAAGCATATGGCTACTGCATGCTAAAAGCAATACAGTGCCAGGTAGTAAAGGTGTAAAATGAAAAAGAAAAACCCCATGTTTCTGTTCTCTGTGGTAAGAGGTGGAAACTTTCCTTTAACTCATTTCCTCATTTTTCAAGTGACACTGGGGTTTGAAATCTGCTTCAGCACTGGGATTGGCAGACACAGCAACAGCTGAATTAATACCTCTGCAATCACACATTGCATAGTTACCAAGAGGAAACTTGCCATTTCAGAAACTTAGAAGCTTCTCAAGATTAAATTTGGCATAAAGAGATCAAATTTTCCAGGCAACAAGAGGAAAATGTTTTATTCCAGAGAGTGAAGTATGAACAAGATTTGTTCATTTGTTTATAATTTTAGAGCTATATGCACTCCTCATCTGATCAGTAACAAACAAAAACAAGCAAGAATACACCTTCATAACTCAAAAATAGATTAATATGGGCACTCAAGAATAACTTGGCTGTTTCTTGCCACTCCTTTGTGTTTCCCAGTTGTCTACAGACAATTTTGTTCTAGGTCATAACTTCTGTGGGCTCTTTCAAAGCGCACACCTTTCTCTGTTCAGCACTGCACCCAACAGAGCTGGCTCATTCCTGCTGCTCCTTTGAGAGTTTAGAGCAGGCATTCACACACACAGGATAGATTTTCAGGGCCAAGAACACAAAACTTAGGAATGCAGGAATTAAGGTTCCAAGAAGCACAATGGTGAGCTCTTCACCTTGAATCTGCCCTTTCTGATTCGAGCTTTAATTTCATGACCACATGTGCACAGGACAGAACTCCAAACTTCAGCAGCAGTTTGATATGCAGGCTACACCTTGCCCTTTGGCTGTGTGCTTATAGCATTTAATGAGTCCTCCAACAAAGCTTTCTAGGTGCAAGTTCTTCCAGTGATTATTTTCTTCAGAGTACTTGTATTGAGTTTGCATTCTCAAAACAGTTTCAGTTGAAACCAGTAATTATTAATGTTTCTGTGAATGGGACTCTGAGTTGCTGAAAATGCCAGGTGTAACAGGCTTGCAGTGCTCTAACTCTATAGTTGCAGTAAGGCAATACCAAAACTTGCATTAGCCTGGTCAGAGACCTGGAGAAACCAGGAGGAGATTCCAATCCAACCGAGAAATTAGATCTGCATTTCCTTCTCCAAGATGACCATTGGCAAACCAGTGCACCCTGCAGCTACAACCAGCCATTGGCACTCACTGGAAATTTTCAAGCCAAACTGGTCTTTCCAATAGGGATAAGGAAAAAAAAAAAAAAAAACACAATCAAGGCAAGGCATATCACAAGGATCAAAAGCTAAATGGAAAATAAGACTTTACTGAGTATGCTTTGTAGGATATATTATCCCCAAAAGAACAGAAGAACATGGGGATAGGAGGTCATGTAGTGCAGGCATGTGTGGCATTTTGGTTAGAACCAGATGGAGGTATTGCAGCAGCCTAGAAATTTTAAGTGTAATTTCAATCAGAATTTGTAACAGGTTTCTCTTAAAATCTCAGTGGTTTTGCATATAAACACACACAATACATGTCTGCAAGACAGTCGTTTTTGTATGAAGGTTAGTTTATGTTTTCTCATAGCCAAAGCAGAACCAAGAGGGAAAAGGAGTGCTTTCAATAGTTCAAAAGGTAATTTAGTTTTTTACTTTTTTAACCTGTTCTTTCTCCTCCATATACACACATAGTTTTGTTTCACTTTGATCCTGGCTATAACAGATGAATACAGAAGAAATGCAGCTTTAAAAAACAGTTGCTCATCTGCCATGCTTTTTCAATTAAAAAGAGTATTGAGATGGAGCCTATGGCACAGTTTTCAGCCAAAATCAAATTGACACCAGCAAACTCTGACCCTTGGGCTATTTCTCATACCAAGGCTTATTTAGCAGTGGTTCCCCAGACTGGGATACGTGATGCACAGCACAAAGGTAACTGACTTAGTGTTGACCTTTACAATTCTCTACAGCTGATTTTTTTACTGAAAATTGTTTTTGTATTATTTATCTGCAGAGACTCTAGCTGGACTATTTACCTAGAAGAGATGTTTAGGAGTAGGTTTTTTTCCTTTTATCATTTAGTTCTTGACAAGATAAATTCTGTACAAAAGATTTTACCTGCTGTAAATAGAAGGCAATGGATATAAATATTAGGTACCACTTGCAAAAAATGTCAACTACATAAATAGAATTTTGATGATAAATACGGAACAAGCTAGAAGTTACTTAAAATTGAAGTGGTTTAAACAGAGTCAGCTATGTATGGGGTTTTTTGACTTAAAAACACAATTTATGCTGCCTTTTTACTGAGGTAACTTATAATAACATACCTTATAACAAAAGGTCCTATTTCTAGATATGCATAATACCACTTATTGTGTGTATAAGAAACAGTGCTACTTTTTAAGAATTGTTGTCAGTTTTCAAAAAGTCAGAAGGATTTATGGGATTATCAATTTAGGAAATAAAAATAATTCAGCAGATTATTTAGAACTGTACCTGAAAAAAACAAAACCAAACCAAATAAACGCCCCCCCCCCCCCCATCCCCATCAAGATCCAAGGTGACTGATTTCCAGTGTGCCTCAACTTCATAAAAGTGAATTGTGTCACACTGGAAGTAGCACTTACCATACATTCTATTCTCTAATACATTTGTGTGTTATTTTTCACTTTCCTATACTGCATGTCTAATGTGGCCCCAGAGTGGCATTTCTGGTCTTCACAATTTTGCGTTTGTAGTCTGAATTTAACGCAAAATCTTCATTATTTTTTCTTGTACTTTTCACTTGACTGAAGAAAAAGTAGGTGCTTACACATCTTAACACTAAGGTTACAAGAATGCAGACTAAATAATATTTTTGTGCTGTCAGGTTGATTCTTACCTCACAGTATAAACACGACCAGTGGCTAGAGTTCACTCTGTTGGTTTTGCTGTGGAAGACCATATCTGGTGTTTTGCACAAGCTGTCCACCACACTGGCTGCCTTTTGGCACCAATATATTTTTCTATCTTAACTTCAAATTCTGTTGCTACTAGGAGTAAATTATGTTCAGTATTTTACATTTTCTGATATTTAATTGAATTTAAAGACTTTGATAATGACAGAAAAAATTCTCAGTTATTCTATTTTCTTGATTTTTTTTGGGGGGGGGCGGTGGGGAATATCTTGTATTTTAAAGCAATATGGATTATACTTACAACTTTCAAACTACAGCTTGGAACTTCAGTGCAAATAGCTTTCAGAGATGAAACAAAGTTAAAAGTAAGGGGATCTGTGTCTCTTGAGAAACTTATAAGAAGTCGTACTTTAATACTTCGTAATACTAATGCTTCTCTTATCTTCCCATCTAAATATGGCCAGTACCTGTGGAGAAATAAGATAACATTTGCAGAAAACTTTAAAAGATTTGGGAGAGGCGGTGCCGTGCCCGAGAGGCGCAGCAGAGGGCGCTGCTGGCCAGCCCAGCCACGGCCGCACGGGTGGCACAGGTCAGGGAGCTGAGACACCGCGTCCTCCCTGCCTGGCATCCCTTCTTTAACCCCTACGCACTGGGACCCCGCAGCCTGGGGACTGGAATGCCTTCTTTCATTTCTCCTTGGGAAACAGAGCTGCTGTGCAGGGTGCCTGCATCCTTCAGGAGCAGCAGATGAGATGGGCTGCTTACAGAGGATGCTGTGTGATGAGGATTGCAGAAATTCTGCCAGGAATGGGATGGTGGCTTCCATGGTGCTAGTCTCACAATTGACAGTTAGCTTTGTATTCCTGACATTTGGTGGGAGGGCAGGGAGAATTAAACAAAAAACCATACATGTTTTCTGTGGGAATCCAGGGCTTCCCTCTGGCTGCTCTGGAAGGTCTGGGACCCTGGCAGGGGGTCAGGAACCCCCCTGTACAGAGCCCCCAGAGACACTGTCTCTGATCTCTGTCCATGGAAAAGAGTTTTCAATCTTACAGGATGAATTACAAGCTCTGAGTGTTTGATATGAGTAATAATTAAGTGTGGCACGGGTGCAAAAGTAAAATTTTAGGATTCTAGATTAGGGGTTCAAAGGGCACAAGATGGAGGAAATTGGGTGTGTCTTGTCCTTTTTCTCCTTCTTCATGCCCTCCATGTTTCACTGTAGTGTTGGCATTTTTCAATTGGTTTAGGCTGGGGACACACTGTTCAATGTAGGTGACAGATATTGGCACATTATTGTAAATACAGCACAGGTAGTTTCTGGTATATAATGTTTGTAACATCCTACTGAGGGGCAGAGCCCCACACGCTGCCCTGCAGGACAGACCTGCGGCAGGGCAGCGGAACATGTTAGAGATAAGCAAGAATAAACAGCCTTGAAAAACAGCACAGATGAATTATGGCTTCTTCTTTGGCAGCGGGGCTGACAGAGACTTTCTACAATCTCGGAATCATTAATACCACAGATTCCGACAGTTTTCTACATTCTAGCAGCATCAAAATGTCTGGACTAATGAAATCTGAGCTCTACCATGCCAGAAAATAACTTAGATGCATGTACTGGGAGCTGGCAAAGTAGAGAAGCTGGGGCAGTGCCTCAAACACAAAGCCATGGTGAAGGAAAAACGTCGAAGAATTCACACAGGTGGCTTCCCTGCATCTCTCTAATCCAGTAGATTTCTGAATCCTTCCACCATGAGAATAAAGTAAGGAGGAGTATAGGAGGTAACATACAATACTGTAGTGGTTCTACATGCTAAGCTGCTTTCCAACATAAAGCAGAAAAAAGAGGGATATATATCATGAAACGGAGGTTCCTACAGCACTGCCCATGATTCTTTCCCTGTGATGGAGGCTGTACATAATGAGTTTATTGGAAAAACTCTCTCACAGACTTAAAAGAATTTATGATTGATATCAGTGATATGATAATTATTTTTTGAAAAATTTAAACAGAACAGCTCTAAGTAGAAAAGACTACATGCTTAATTTGGCTTAACTGTGTTCAAATAAAATGCATAGATGAAACAGCATGCTTGGCTAGATTCTAAATTAATTGTGAACATTATAGAGAGTAAGAGGGCCCAGTGTATACTTGCCTCCGGAGCTGTATGGTTTTGATGCACTCTGGCTCCAGTGTTGGGTCCGTAAGTGCTTTTTAATGATCCATACAAACAGGCTGTTCAAAAATTATGTGGTTTTGTTTGATTTTAGCACCTCTCAGTTAACTGAATTGTGATATTATTCAAATGCAATCTATTCTGAACTGGGAATTTTCATTTATATGTGTATGCCAGTAAGATAATGATATTTCCTACACTATAGACAAGTCATAACTCATTAATTCTCTCTTAACACACCCACACACTCTGTCATTGTTGAATATCTGCATGATACTCATAAAATGCCAGTAGTTGCGGTCTCACAATAGTCAATTTAATAGTGTAAGAAACAGGACTCATGTATAAGCAGACTGTTATATTCCTGGGTCCCAGTCATGTGCAGGTGGTCAGACTAGACAATTTGTGATCTCCTTCAACAGACAGATCCAAAGCTTAGGACCCAGAACTGGATATGTCCTCTTAGGTCCCAATTCTGCTCCCATTTAAGTCAATGGCAGGACTCTCACTGATTTCAATAAGAGCAGAATTGGGCCCCAAGAAATCAGTGCACAGTAGTGAGTAACCTCCTGTGGGTTCATTTTCTCCAGCACACCCTACTGGCAGTATGGTAAGCAGCTGGGCCTGGACCTGGACACTCACCGCTTAGCATTGGTGTCGATGACAATGGGCAAGTAGTCCATGACAGCAATGTACACAAATTGTTTGGCATCATCAATAACACTGTAGATAGCTTCAATATCCAGGACTCTGTCCTTGGGGCAGAAGAGTTTAGGTGAGTTCTGTGAAAGGAAGAGTTCAAATATGGCATTAAAAACCATTTATTTTTTCCTACCCTCAGTCTTCTTGAGATGAGAAGCAGTATCCATTATTTTAGCAGAGATTATTAACTAATACCTTCAGTTGTCCTGCTAGAATACTCAAAGCTACAAAGGCAAGTTACTGGTTTATTTGACCCTCAAAACCCTCACAATTTAGATGTATCTGTGGGTGAAATGCAAAAGACACAGACTTCAAAACATCCACTGTCATGAAAGAAGCTGTAATTGAAATTACATTTCAGAGAATTTTGTTCCAAAGAGCCCCAGGACTGCTTTCCATTGCATGGAGTGTTCATATGTTCTTACCACGTGAGTCTGATCCTTCACTTGTGAGCAGGAATTAAGTGTTTTATGTTAGTTGCAGGGAGACGCTGCAGTTTTGCAAGAAACTTATCTTTAAAATAAAGCTTCAGGTATGAATTTCCCAGTACAGAGCTGGTACCAGCCCAGATTGCAGCTTTTCTGCCTTCTGTCTGGGGCTGTCAAAGGCCAGGTGAAGCCAGTGGAAATTGCTCATCTGTGGCAGATGTGCCCAGGACTTTCTACTCTGCTGCACAAGCAGAGAGAGAAAAGTGAACCCCCTTTCAAGTTGCTTGCAGGCAACAACTTCATTCCAGGGACAGAGGTTGTCGAAGGCACTTTAACCCAGCTGGAACAGGTATTTTCCTGCCACTGTAACACCTTCTCACCTTCATTACCTGCTTGGGTTGCAGCTGACATCTAGGTGGGCATCTTTAGGGAAAGATCCCAGGGATTTTATTAGTCTTCCTTAATTCCAGTGTACTGCCTGCCACAGTGGTTTCTTATTACTAACTGGTGTTCTTAAGGATTTATTTCAACTAAGTACAGAAAATACTAGAAAATTAACCATAGCAAGATTTCAATACCGATATTCTAGATACATTCCTGAACCCTAAAAACCCAAAACTTCTTACATTTTATCCAGGCTGGAAGATGAATTTGTTGCTAAGTAACACTAAGCTATAATTCCCAAGTATAGTAAAAAAATTTAATAACTGTGTATTTTGCTTGTTTTATATAGCACAAACATTGAAATAAGTTTTCAAAAAATTAATTTCAACTCAAGAAAAAAGTGTAAAAGGATTTAAATACAGTTAAAATATTAAGTATAACTTATTTCTATTATCTGAAACTTTTTGGAGGTTATTTCTCTGAGATGTTATTCTTAACACTTGTATTATTTTATTGAACTTCAAAGTTACAGAACAGCTGAAGAAAGAAATTGCCATGTACTTGTCTTCTTCGGATGTGTTCAATACAAATATCTGAAAGTGAAAGACTTCCTGAAGATAATGAGAAGAAAAATCTCAGTCAAAACTCTCACTGTGCACTGTGCTTTGGCATTCCACCAGTTACTCTATGGCATAGCTGATGCCTGCCCCGCAGCCACGGACTGGCTTAGGACTTGTCTCCATGTTGTGTAGCACTTGCTGTTCTGATCAAGCACCCACTTACTCCTCCTCTTCACCTACCGTAACAGGCCTTTATTCTGGCTGGGAACAGCAGCTTTCCATGTCCCTGCTTGGGGCTGTGCTATCCCAAACCCACAGGGAGGCAGCAGCCTGTCTCTGCCCCCGGCAGGACTGCCAGGGCAGCAAGGGAACTGGCTGGCTCCTGGGAACTTCCTTCTGATCATTAGCTCAGGAACACACTGCAGCATTAACACTCTGGCCACCAAGTCAGTCCCAAGCAACTCCAGGACTGCCCTTCAGAGGGGCCTGCTGGCAAACACCGAGAATTTTCTAGTGGGTGAGAAATTTATTGTAGAGCCTGTTTTCAGAAGGAAGAACCAGCCCAAGTGGCTGAGGATACAAATTCAGGTAGCTCTTGGAGTTGGACTTCAGTGATCCAAGCTTCTGATTATCACTGAGCTCTTCCTTTTGTTTTCTGCAGTGAAATACCAAGAGAAAAGGCTTCCTTGCCCACAGGAAAGGAGAAAATCACAGAGAGAAAGGAAACACTCTGCAAACTGAAAAAAAAGGTAGATTCCTTCCCACATTCCTTAAACTGGGCCTTAACCAGCTTTCTATTCTGTGTTCCCCTCCAGGAACAACTTTCAGCAGGATTTCTCCACTTCTTACAGATTTCTTAGAAAGGAGTAGGATTTCATTTCACAGTGCTTTAGCAAACTGTCTCTCATTTAAGATAGTCCTTAAGATTCTCCAGAATCAATGGAGGTGTCCATTATATCAAACCACAATTTATTCTGGCCGTCTTAGGCACTTCCATACTTTCAGTCCAAAATAGTTCTCTGTCTGTCCACTGATTGTAGGAGTAGGAAAAATCCTGGACAGCAGAACACTCTCTGGTGCCCAGCAGGTAAAGGGGAACCCTGCCCTCTGTGACCACTCATCTGCACTGTCTGATGCCAGTGTCTGTACAACTTAACAGTGTGTTATGTTCTTTTAGACATAACGTGGCTATAAAGCAATGGTGGTTTTGCCCTGTTTTATAGAGAATGGAAAATTACTCTCAGCAACTTTATTTATATTCCTGATTTTGAAGGGGTGGTTTACACTCACTTAATTACACCCAAAATGAATGACACTCCACATCTTCCATCATCTCTATCTCACTGGGTTCATTTCCAATTTTGCTACATCACTGATGACATGGAGGACTCCGTTTCTTTCCATTAAAAACACATGCACAGACAGTGCATGGGGATCACTGCTTGGATTTTAGAAGTCTTGAAATGTCATTTAAAAATAAAGCTGAAGTAGATGATCTTGTACAGAAGTATGAATGCTTTGCAATAGGGTGAATCCTTATAACTTACATTGATAAAAATGCAAGCTCTGCTTATTATGTATAATTTTCTATGTCTGATTAATGGTTCATTTACTCCCAAGTCATTCACATTCTACCTATTAGTATAAATAAAAGAATTTAATTTGAAGAGTCTCTATATTGTTTTCTGGACATGACTGGAAAAGTGTTGAACATTGCAGAGAAAGGGAAACTGAATACTGCTCAAATGAAATCCTGCAGCATCTAAAGCCCTGGCAAACTGCATGTCATACAAAACAGAATTAAAAAAAAAAAGGGATTTTTCAAATTTCCAGGTTTTTCAAAGATCTTGCAGGTTAAGTACATTTCTTCCCTTCACCCCCCACTCCTGGAACTCATTTCAGAACTTACCGACACAAAAGCTTCCGATTTTGTCTCGTTCAGCTGCAGTGTCAGTTTATTTTGAGTATCGTACACTCCATAGAGTCTCTTAGACCAACTCGAAGGAATTTTATTCTTATACCTTAGTGAGCTATACAGGGCAAATATCCTTTGTAAATCCAGGACCAGGCAGCTACAGTTGTATACGATGACACCAAGTTCCTTCATCTGTGAAATTAAAAGTTAGATCATTAGTGATATTTTCGCTGGTGGATATGTGGAAGTATGCAGCAAGAACACAAAAACCTCACCTTGGGTAACCCAGTTTTCTGGGTGTCAGTTTCTTCACATGTTAAAAGGGAGATAATGATACTTTTCTCTCATAGAAAGTATTCTGTAAGCATCAACATAATTTATATTCGCACATATAAATTATGAGGAAAAATATTCCAAGTAAATACAGACAACAGAGTACAATTAAATTCTTTAACCTTCAACAGGCACAATCCCACTTCTCATTTAGGTAAAGGCATGTCTCCTGATCATTGTAAATATTTTTTTGGCAGAGATTTCATTAATTGTACACCCCTAGCACCTAAGTTGTTGACAGAATTTCATGCTGAATATATTGTCTGGCTTTTGTAATCAAAGCGTAACCACATGCTCACTCTCTTCCGTTCCTATGCTTTAGAATAGCTCAAGAAAGGACTGGTGTGGGCCTGGATGCTATTGACCTCTCATTACCTGTATTTAATAATAGTTCAGCCATCTTCTTAAACAAAGCAAGAAGAAAATCTGCATGTATCTGTTGGAAAAATATATGTAGGATAAATATTTAAAGGATCCATGCTGGCTTTCAGCAGGCAAACTCTCTTGGTAGCATGCCTGCGAAGTCTGCCTAGCATCATGAAAATAAGAGTAACAGCATGCTTACCCCTTCACTCCAATATATTCCTTCCCACTGATGTTATTCCCTTAGATGAGATCTCCACAGTTACACAGACTAGTTTCTGGTGAAAGAGTATCTTTCTGTAAAGCCTGGGAGAACTCTGAACCCCACACTGATGATATGTCAGAGCTTGTCTAGTGCAATTCCCTGACTGCAGATGAGAACCACTCTGCAGGTGTGGGCAGAGGGAAAGTGAGGGATAGAACTGGAACCTTGACTCCTTCTGTAGTGGGTGAGCACAATACTCCAGTGAGAAGGAAATTCTATGGGTGACACATTCTTTATGTCCCCAACCTGGAAATACCACATCCCTAAAAATACACAACACTGAGCTATCTCATTCCTAAATATTTGCCAAACAGTTGTAACCACAGGAACAAGACCTAATATTATTGCTACCTAAATCAGAATATTTCTGCAAGCTTCTTTAATCTGTTAGCCTGCACAACCTGAAATTTGCAGAGTTGGAAAAACAGACATACTACACTACAGCCTTTCATTTCTGGATAAGACAGTAAATTAATTTTGATGCTAAATATAAATCTGACCATCATCCTAGCTGAAGAATCTATTTGGAATAACATCTTTAATTTTTCCCCTGGGTGCTGGTATCTTTGAGGATGCTTCTGTATTCGTCTCTAGGCTGTCCCCATAGTCTGGGCATTATTTGTCTCAAAATATTTTTAACTATACATTAGCACTGTTTTCACTGTGTGCTGCCAATACAGCTCTCTTAATTGCCAGGCATGCCATTGCAGAGGACTTGCTAATAGTACTCTGTTACATCTATCTGCATAATGTGGTTTAATCGGCTTTTCATGGCTGTTAGTTGATTCTGACATAATTATGTGGTTACAGTTTTCCTTTCATTTATCAGTCCCATTATTAGCATTCCACTTTATCCATTCTCTTAAAGATGAAAGGGTCCTCACTGCACACCAGAAGCTGCCAGGATTGCATCTGCATGAGCAACTCTTCTCGCAACAGGAGTGCCTGCAGCGCGTCCCCTCCCCGTGAATTAAGAGATTGCCCTTCTGCCTGAGTGGTTCCTCATGCAGAGATAGGGAGGAAGGCAGGGGCACTGATGGGTTTTGTTAAACACCACTTTCACAGATGACCACCCAGCCGGAGTGCCAAAGGAAGCACCAGGCACGCCTCAGCGGCCGCGTCTCCCCGCGAGCAGGGGCGCACGGGGGGCGCAGGGAGCCTGGAACAGGCTCCAGCCACGGGCTGCACTGAAGCCACCCAGACATGTGCTTACACCGCAGCAATGAACGCTGCCTTCCCAAGGTGTTGCGTCTTGCAGTTGGCTTCTCAAAGCACTGATCTACGTTTTTCTTGCTTCCGAAGCTTTTCCTCGCGGGGACTTCCTAATACATGATAGAGGCAGGGCTCCGCTCCCTCGCTAGCAAAACATGGATATCCTCTGCTGCCTGTTTTCATTAAGTTTTATAAACTTCAGTTCAAATTTAACTCAACCTGAACAGTAGATTCAAAGCTATAGGAAGAGGGCAGACAGCAACTCTGATGCTTGTAGCACAAACCGAATTTTCTTAAGAAATCAGTTTAGATGTCAGCCTGTCACTTTGTGACCCTCTCAGCCTAGGTGTAATACATCCCCTTGAAACACAAACAACACATGTACGTAGTAAAACTCCACCTGTCTCTTTTCTTGTGTAACAGTCCTAGTCGGTTTGGAGACAAAAAAAAAACTCCTTCAGAAGCATCTTCTACACTGAGCGTAGTTTAACTTTGAGGTGAGGAGAAACTGTTCTTCTTCCTATTAATCATGAAGCCTTATAATCCTGGACGCATAGGGGGCAGCAGGAATCTGTTAGTGACAGATTTAGTATGAAGTGGCATGATATCTAGATAAAAGACTTTCTCTTCTGTTTGAGAGCTGCTGTAATTACAGACTTTTTTCTTTAGTAGTCTCAGAGGAGAAGCAGAAAAAAACATTTATATTGTAAGAATCAAAATCTGAGTGTTGCACCCTGACTTGTCATCATGGAAACCTTCAGCTAAGCATCATTTAAGGTATCTGTTAAGGTAAAACCCTTCAGGGCAGGAGCTCTTAAGGCACGGAAGTATTTCTTCATCCTGCATTTTAAGAGCAATTAATGCAGTAATGGAAATGTCACTAAAAATTAAAGTGAAGACGATCTCAAAAAATTAAAAGCTTAATGAAACTAAGGAAGATAAATGTGAAATTAAAATATGGAGTCACAAACTGATTACCTAAAAATGGAACAAAAGTTTTTGGAAGGTAAAGTTGTACAGTTGCTTGGGAATGACATTTCCAGGGCATGGGCCAGGGACTGGGGAAAGGAATGGTTATCTGCACAGAGAATCTTGTGTCCTCTCTTGTGCAGGTTTCTTCTCCTCTATGTTAAGAACTACCATGCATGCTCCAATCAAAGAATGAAAAATATGGGAGCTGGTTTTCCTTGTTTTTTCCCATGCCACTTACATTTGTGCAGAGCAACTGTCAAAGACTACTGTTTGACTTCCTTGCCAATAAGGTCTTTCTTAAAGCACCAGAAGAGTGAATAATTATGCTTGTCTTATGAAATGTAGTTTCCTCCCACTGTACAATTATAACTACAGAACTCAGTTAAGCTATGAAAAGTAATAAATATGGTCTAGATAGAAAAATAGTAATTTTTATGACAAGAGGATGAATTCCTTGCTGAATTGGACAAAAAGTAGAATTTCACAAACAGGAATTTTTACTTATTCTTTCTCCATGTGCATTCATAGGCATCCTATGCAAAAGAAAGAAAAAACATGGGAAAATAACCTGAACAATCCAGGCTGTGAACACAGAGCACTAAGAAACAGAGTTAACAGGACTTTTCAGGTATGTTTGGGTCATGGGCCAGAGAAGGCATTTGATGTGTCCTTACCCTGCACTGTGCAGACGAGACAGCTCATTTTATACTTACCTTGAGCTCCCCTCTAAGAGACAACCCCACTGTGTAGGCAAGGTACTACTTGACCTACATAAGAGTGACACAATCTGGTTCACAGCTTGCAGTATCTGAGTTGTGGCAAATGTAGCAGGAAGCTTTAGAAAACCCCTTGCTTAAAGAAAAAGTTTTTAGTAGTTGTTCACACCCAAACCTGATCCTATAAACAACAGGCAGCTCTTCTCAGGCATGAATTGCCACTTGCCCAAAAGATCTGGCCACTGGCAGATGCCAGGAATCCACTGTCTGTGCCACGGAAACTCTGGATTAACTACAGGTAGCCTATTGCATACAAAATTTACTAAAGCAGACTTTTGGCATACAGCATAGTGTATGCATTTGTCATTTGCCTGTGTTTGAAAATTTATTTAATTATGCATTTGAGCCTCTGATTTTTTTTAATGACAAGTTTCTAAATGAATGACTGAGCAAAGCCAAAATCACAACAGGGTAAATTAATGCAGTAACAAAAAGCACTCCATACTGATAAATCAATTACTAAAGCCTAAGACTTCAATACCTTCTAAATAAAAGTAATATACAATGTATTCATTATCATCTTAAGACAAATCACAGATATTTACACTGGTACACCAATCTTTTAATAATATATGCTCTAATTATCCAGTTACCCAGAACTCCAAATGTACTTTCTTTTTCATAATCAGGCTTACCTGATCCTTACTGCAGACCTCCCTTGTGTGGTACCCTTTCATATTGAGTGAATAGTCCCCAATCATCCACAGCACCACTGAAGGCTGCCTCTGTGCAGCTATTCTTTACCTCTCTTTACCAACATATACCAACAGATCTGCTGAGCAGATATGCATGCCCATCCCATGCCAGGCAAAAGTGCCAGCCGAGGGGTAGCCTGTGGAAGCAGTGCAGGAGGAGAAGGGCATTCTGATGGGAGTGACCATCAACAGAGATAGAGTCAGAGATTTGAGGAAGGTAAAAAGTGTTTCTCTGTGCAGAGCTGTTCACTGTGACTGCTGTAGCACACTTTGCTGGAAGAGGCTGACAGGAGCAGTGTTCAGCACAAACGCACTCGGTGTAATGACCCCATTCAGGCAGATCTCGTTTTGATATAAGCCAAAAGCGCAACCTGATACTGAACAGGCTGAAAAGGAACTGTAGCACTGCCTAGCCCCTCTCTCACAAAACCTCTGCAGGTATTACAGTCCACCACAAGAGCAAAAGGATGTGCCTCAGCTAACAGTTCACTAGAAACTGCAACCTACCCGTACATTCCTGGGACAAAAATCCTCCTATGCTTGGCCAGTGATACAGTACAGAAACTTTACAATTTGTTATGTTGAAATCAAAAGCAATTCAGTGAAATCTAAATCCAGCACAGTCCTGCGTGTGCTCCAAGTTTCACTTTTTCTTTTCCTTTGCTAAGAAAATGGGACCTACATTGATATTGGGAAATACTAAAAAGGAAACATTAATACAAATGGGAAAGGACTGTTTTTTCAGAAAATTAATAAAACTCTGTCTAGCTTAAACTATCGGAAAGTGAATAAATCTAAGTTGACAGCATCTTTGGATGTCAAAAATCATCTAGGGCACAATAAATGTTTTTACTTGAATTCCCTCTTACTTTGACAGCCACAAATTGCTTTTAAATATTACTTACAGAATTCAAACAGATTAAATTTTGAGATTAACCATTTCATTGTTTAATTGTGCAACTTCCTGTTTTCTATAGACAATTTTATTGATCAATGGTATTTTTAAAATCTTACATTCAGCTCTCCACCATTCTCAAATTAATCACCTTGTGAGTCTTACACTTGGATCTCTCTTGTGCCTGGCCTATGTCCTAGTTTTGTAGGTTTTACGCTTCTGTCATCTAAGGCTAAAGGCTAATTTTCTATCATGTAGGTTTTAAGTAATTTGAAAATAATTGCCAGGTAGAATTTCTAATTAACTAGAAAAAAAGCCCTTCCATTGACAAAAAAAAGAAATTTCAACCTGAGCCAGGAACTCAATCTCATCACTGAAAATGGAAAACTGTCAAGCCACTGTGCTGGAAATAAATTTTAGCATGTGACCAAGAAAAGGTGATGCATTTGATAGAGAGTGCACCCAGCATTGGCACTGAATGTCACTATAAAACCATGACAAGTTTTCACCAAAGGTAAGTGAGTGGTATCAGTGGATTGACTGTGCCACTGAAGCTGATAAATTTGAATTGTCAGCCACCAGCAGTCCACTGGTCTTTAATTGTCACCTTTAGAAAGTACATTTGATAGATTTCGAGCTGTAGCTCATGCAGAATAAAAGTCCCAAGAAGTTACAGCTTCATATGTTATTTTTATTAATATTACCTAATGACAAAAAGCTGCTATGATAAGGCAGAGAAGATCTCTGATGAGCTGCTAATTTTTGTATTCCCTTCTTTTTTTTCAGTGGTCCATAGGCAAAGAACACAAAGCTCCATTGTGATGCTCTGCTAATTTCCACTTCATTTCAGCCAGACCATTATTTTTCATTGCACCCTGGTCTTAAGAAAACCATGCTGAGAAAAAAAAGATAGGCTTAGCATTTCATTTCTGCTGAAAAATACTGCTGCTGAGACACAAAGCAAGTTAGGCACCCAGGCAGAAGCGGGACTTGTTTTAAAATTGTGTGGTTTAAATAGAATTTTGTGATGAAGAGGTAGTAATACATCTTCAAAGCAGAAAACCAGAAGTCCCCCGTGTCCTCATCGCATTAGAAAGAAGTCCCATTATGATTTGTCTTTTTCAGCCATCTGTTCTATTGATATGAAAAACTCAGCAAAAATAAATTTGTTTGTAGAAAAAATTCAAATATATTTTGTTTAAACCATGGACAACTCTGTGATTATGTTTACATAGATCCTACCACAGAATTTTGAGTGCAAGTTTGGGCTTTTTACTGCTGCTGTTTAAGCTCACTAACAAACAAAGCCTGAACATAGCTAATTGTCAGAGCAAGCCAGAAGGCAGAACTGAATCAGTTAAAAATTCATTGCCATATAATCTATTAGCATAATTAATATCACTTGGCATAATCACAGCCTAATTTATAATTTTCAAATGAATTTTCAGTTTGTAGTTTCATTACCCCTTCAAAGCAGGCACAAATGTCTTCTTTAGGGAAAATGGAAGCTTGCAACTGCAAGAAAGTACTTTTCCAGATCATGTTTGATTTATTTATTGTTTTACTGCAGGAAATCTAATTAATGTGAATTCTAATTTGATTCGGTTTCTCTTTCGAAACAGTTTTGTTCCTTTATGTCAGGAAAAGGAATAAATATGAAAATATTTCATTTTCATAGAAAATTGCATTTTCAAAAAGGAAAGTGCATTTTCAAAGAAAAGTGCAGGCTGGAATCATGTTTTGTTGGCCTCCCATCTCACTGCTGGCAAGCTGCATCACATTTCAGTTTTGGTGTCATTCACATAACATTAAAAAATTCCCTTCTCCGGTGGAACCATAAAAAACTAACAGGTGAAGTGAAAGACCCTGCTAGCTTCTGAAAAGGGCTGGACTCTCCTTCACCATGTACATGTATATCCCTGAAGTCTCTTTCCCTCTTCCCTGCACCAGAGCCTGTCCTGTCAGCCCTTTTCCTGCAGTCTCTTCACGCAGCAGGAAATCACAGCACGAGCCCTTAGCATTTGTTCTCATCCTATGCAATGCTGCAAAGGGCAGCCTGCACACGTCTTCTGCTGTGCAACAGAGAGAGGAGAGTGCAAAGGGCTGATCTCTGAGTAAGGGCAGTATTTATGTCTAAACATTTCTCTCAAAGCACACAGTTTCTTTGGGGCTTTCAGATCCATGGTCTTTAGGGAAATGCAACAGCATGTAGTTGACTAATTGGATGCATTATTTATAACATTACTGACACACACAGTGGGTTTTCCTTTTGCAAACTGAATAGAGATTGGTAGCAGGCATGCTGGGGACACAATCTGGGACAATGACATTGCATATGAATTATTGCTATAACTGTTGAGCTTTGCCGGACTACCTGATCAGAATTAGAAACCTATTTTCTTCGTGTAAGCAGAGGGCCAGAGGCATCAATTAATTTTTGACTGAGCCTTGATTAAATTCAGTCTACAGGACCTTGAGGTAAGCTAGAAATCCAAGTAGTTTAGATACATAAGGCAATTTAGCCAAATGGTATGCAGGCAGCCCCAGAACAATGGCTAGTCAATATGAAAATCTATTTTAGAAATCCACTCTGCCCTCTGTCCTTTTTTCTTGAGTAACCATCTTAGATATTTGTAAGGTTTCTGGCTGCTTCAACATGAAAGCAATTTCTCTTGTAAAGATATGATGCCGATATAGGCCCTTAGGAAGAAAACTTGTAATTAAATTACTATATCATATTTCTGCCTCCTGACTCTAACAGTACAATTGAGAGCACAGAAGCACAGACTGTGTAAGGCTGGAAGGACCACTGGAGGTCATCTAGTCTAGCCTCCCTCCTACCAGGGTCATCCTAGAGCACATTGCACAGGATGGCACCCAGACAGTTCTTGAATGCGTACAGTGATGGAGAGACCGCTGTCTCTCTGAACAATCTGTTCCACTGCAATCTGTTCCCACACAGTAAAGTTCTTCCTCATATCCAGGTGGAGCTTCCTGTGCATCAGTTCCTGGCCATTGTCTTTTGTCCTATTGCTTGGCATCACCACAAAGAACCTGGCTCCATCCTCAACACCCTCCCTTGAGATACTTACGGATATTGAAGAAATCCCCTCTCAATCATCTCTTCACTAGGCTACACAGGGTGAGTTTCTTCAGCTATTTCTTGTGAGGTGCTCTAGCATTACATTTGAAAGAAATGTCTAGTAATTAATCTCACTGATTAGAAAAAGTTGCTTGTCCAGTATCACGATTCCTATGACTTCCACAGTTCTCTGAAGCCACACTTAACAATTCTGTTTGCAGGGGCTGCCAGCCCAATACACCTCCCACATGCAGGGATTAATAGTTTTCCACTGAGCAGTTCCAGGGAAACGTCAATGACTTCACAGTTTTGATGACTACTGTTTACTTAGATAAGTTAAGAAAAGTGACTTCTAAACCATGCCTTGATGTTTATGATGACAGTATCAAAATCTGAAAAGGTTAGTGATTACATTAATGCTGCACATTCATATGGAAGGAATGCTTTGTCATTTATTTTGTTCTGCTTGATGACTTATGGGTATAGAAAGATGAGATGAACTGCAGAATCATTTGTCTTTTATAAAATAACTGAAATGATTGTCCTTCCTTACCCTGACTCAGGGAGATTTATACCATGGTATTTCAGCCTGATTTACTGTGTGTCTTTTTCACAGGACAATACCAAATCCAGTTTTCCATGAAAGGATTCAAACCTTCAAGCAGAAGGTGACTGGGCTCCATCTGGGAACCTTTTGGAGTTGAGGCAGTTCTGAATGAAGACATTTTTCTAAGGGGGAACTGTCATCTGTGCAATATCAAAGTGTGTGTGCGTGGGTGGAATCACATATTGGGAATACACTTTCATGATTATTTTAATGGTGTAATTTTAATTGTTTAGTTGAACAAGATTGATCTGATGAGGTATGCTAACAACTAAATCCCTCTGAGAGGAATCTGCCTCCATTTGTTAACATTGCTGACCAAGATTAGTTGCCAGCAAATACTTGTGGAAGATGACAGAATAGACTGTGGTGCATTCATTCCCCCATCAGAGATTCAGCTGGGGTTTACTGAAGAAGTTTTCTTTCAGCATAACATAAATAAAATTTTGGGGAAAGTAGTGGATTTATTGGGGTTTTTTATATCCATGTAAGTTTACTAGTTATTTCAGACTACCCCTGGGTAGATTGCAGCAAACAGACTTTACATATATGTGCCTAGAAAAAATTTTCATCTCTGCAACCAGTGTCTTTTTTTTTTTATTTTTTAAAAGGAAAGACAAACTGCCAGGTGAGCTATTTGTGATGCAGTTTCTGGGAGATCCTCCCAAACACTTTTTATAAATGTCAACAACTTAACTTTTAGGCTACTTAGTCTAATCCCTAGGCCATATACTCGTGCAAGCACACCTCACCAGTGCTGTCTATTCACCAGTATTTGCTTCAAGACAGCAGAAGAGGTTTTAAAATCTGTCTTCTTTGTTGCACGCACTTTTGTGGATAACTTTCTATCCCATGTGCAGTGGTGTACAGTTTGTGTTCTGGCAGCAAATTCGTGCATGATTCCAGTTCCCTAAACACTTTTAGAGCCCATCCAAAATTCTCAAGTCGATAACACTAGTAAACTGATACTATTTGTCAAGTATCTGAGGGACCAATAATAAGCTAGAACCAATCACACTCCCTTTGCAACATGTATGACTCTTAATTAAGACATAGTAATGGTATGGCAAGTATTAAAAGGCAAGCAAATGATTATGAGGTAAGTATTACTGGAGAAACAACCTTCTATTTTCCTTTGGGTTTTAGAGATCCAACTACCTCAATATGCCATGCTGCTCTGGAAAGAAGTCAATCTATCAATTCAAAATGGATATTCCATAATTTTGCTCTGCAGGCTTATTACTTATTGATTTACAATCTATTCTTGATTACTCCAACAGCGGGTAAACCTGTTCACAGGACTTCCACAGCAACTAAAGAAAAAAAAAAAAGATGAGAAGAAAATAAAATTATAGAATGGTTTGCATTGAAAATGTTCATAAAGATCATCTAGTTCAAACTCCTCTGCTATAGGCAGGGATGCCATTCACTAGACCAGATTGCTCAGGGCCCCGTCCAACCTGTCCTTGAAAATTTCCACAGATGAAGTATTCACAATTTCTCTGGGCCAACCTGTTCCAGTGCCTTGCTACCCTCACAGTGCAGCATTTCTTCCTAAAATCCACTCTAGATCTACTCAGATTAAGCCTGGCATTCAGTAATATTCAGGTACCCAGCTACCTGAATATGCCATGCTGCTTTGGAAAGAAGTCAGTTTATCTCTTCAAACCAAATATTCCATCATTTTGCTCTGAAGGTTCATTACTTACTGATTTACGATTTCTTATTGATTATTTCAAAAGACAAACCTGTCTCACAGAACTTTTAGAGCAACTGAAAAATCAACAAAAAAAATCGAAAAGAGAAGATCTGTAATTTCAGAGGCCAGAAACAGAGTGATGAGCATATTTATACAGTCAACAGAAATGCAACAAGCTGTTAATGTATTCTGTTCTCTCCTACACTAAATACAGACACATAATGAAGATGGATGCACTGGTGCATGTGAGAATGGAGCACAACAGTGGGAGAAGTTTGACAAACAGGAATAACTTCCAAGTTCCTCAGAGCTGGGAATCAGCACTGCACTCAGAGAAACAAGCCAAGCTGAGAGGACTTTCTGGCTCCAACTGCAAGGTGAAGATACAGATCCCATGCTGTTTTCAGTCAGTATATCACAAAACCAGAAGCCCACAGCAGTAAGGAGGAACCAATGGCACTACCAGGCAGCAAGGAAGCACATACAAGGCACAAGTGGAGCAGCCACCTTACCTTGTTCCTGTCTAGTTTTAACCAGCCCTCTGTGAGTAGTGCATAGCAATGGTGAGCGAGAGACAAATAGTCCTTTTGCTTCACTGATATTTATTTGTAAATACTGGATACATAGGTAATAAATTTCAAGCAGAGTAAGCATAATGGGCAACAGTGACTGTCCTGATTTACTGGATGTAACCAAGAAAAAAGACTGTCTCAGTTAAAGAATAAAATGAAGCATTGTATTTCCAAAAATGCAAACTTTACACCATGATAAATGCATGCTGTGAGACATGCACATTTATAAGAGTACCTTCTCCCAGTCCCCTAACTTTTGGGGAAAAAAAAAAGAAAAAAAGGAAAGAAAATAGAAAAGCTGCAATTTTGTAGATATGTATCAGCCACTAAAGTGCTCTAGATTTGGTCAAAGATAAAAACCCGAGCTAAAAGCTCTTAGTGAAAATAATAAAAGTATTTTAAACTTGTCCTTTGAAGGACAAGCTGTAATAGCATCATGGCAGAGTTCTGACAATACAACTAGATTTCTGTGCAGTAGGAAATAGAAAAAAGTAATAAGCAGTTTAAGTAATAAATGACTAAAAGGGTAACTGTCAATACAGCTCTGTAATATCTTCTTATACCTGCTTTCTTCACATATTGCCTCATTTACCCATGCTTGAAGATCTGGGTTGCACTTTTCTGTTACATTTAAAATATTAGCTAGATCAGGAAATGTTTGCATAGACAGAAAACCCATGAAGATTTTTTCTTATGGATTGGATCACATGGATGACAGTATATCAAAACTTTTTAGAAGGAGATACTCTCTGTCTTATGTAAGAGAGATGTATTAACCCAGAAATACAAATTTAGATAGAATACATCAGTATTATCTTGCCTCTACTTTCAGTCTAGTATTTACCCATCTGAACTTGATTGAACCTCAGTGGACAACAAAGCTGAAAGAGCCTTATTTCATGTTATAGGACACTTGAGACTGTGTTCAGTTTTCTAATAGCAACATTATACTGAACACCATTGGGATACTAAGAAAATTAAGCAAATTATTAGAAGATGGGAAAAACTGACAAAGTGCACATTAGGTACAAATCTGTAATTCATACTAGCACAACATGGTAACAGATAGGAACTCACAATATTAACTTTTGTTTGACTGAAAAGATGGAATTCTACTGTCAGACAAAATATCTTATCTTAAAAGGACCAGATGCACCATTACATAACTTCAAGAGACTAAGATAAAAGTTCAGGGAAATAACTGACTGATTATAGACTGCTTTTGCTCTATGAGTTCTGTAAAGATCATCAATAGAAATTGAAAATGTGCAGATCTTGTCTCAGTGATCAGTTTTGAGAGGTGGCTCTGCTACAGTAAGATTTTGGGGAAGCTGGAAACCAACAAGATGATCATAATGTACTTTTGATATATATAGAAATCCAGCATTTATTACATATTGGTTTTATTGGAGGACAATGTTTTTCCCACAAATAAATGGAAAAGACAGTGTTCAATGATGTAATTAGAGGAAATCATCATTCCCCTTTCCCTGGGAGAGATACAAAAAAGAAACACACGTTGCATTTGCTCCTGGCAGCATTGCAGAGATTCTTGAATTTTGAGAAAATTTCTATTAGAATCCATATCCCTAGAAATGAAGACCAAGAGGAGGGATAATTCTGAGGCGAGTTTTGTCCCTCGTAAGTATGGCCTTTGAGCTACATCTCCTCCTTATGAGTAGTGTCAATATAATTGGGAAGGGAGTTTTGAGTAAATAACTGTGTGGATTGCTTCCAATTGATTTTACCCACAACAATCAATGAAAAGGTTGCTCCTCTAGTATTCCCAGAAACATAAATTGCCCCAAACCTGCCCCTTCAGATGCAGCTCTTAATACCTGAAATACCATCATTTAGCAACTTTTGTCATTTCAGAGCAGGATGGGAAGGAGTTTGGGCTTTATCAGTCTTTTTGTCACAAAAGATTAGAGGAGAAGATGGTACCAATGAATTCAGACTGCTGCTTTTGTCTCCTTTTTTCTGTTTCAGGAAGGACAGCCTGAACAACTCTACTGAAACCCGCACTATTTCTCAAAACACTTCTGTCCTGTCTGGTGATAATAGGCAAGACAAACAGACACATTCCAAGCATTCTTGGAGACATCCTGCTGCAAGCCTTCCTACAGCTTATTTCAAAAAACAGACTTATACAAAAACAAATCAAATATTGGCTCATCAGTTTTTACTTAAAATGGACACACAGAAAATGTCTGTCTTTTGACCAACTGAAATTTTGGAGGTTTCCTCCCTCCTTTTTTCCCCTGTCTTTTTGTTTGTTTTCCTAGTGAGTGCAGGCTTACTGATTTCACAAATTTCAGAATCCAATATACTTTTGCTGTATGTAAGCACTGGATTAGTGATATTTATCGTAAAAGACAAAACTTGGTTTATCTTCTGTATCTACAGATGCTTAATAGATCTTTTTCTGAATAATTTTCATAGCTCTCCATCTCAGCTAATTTTGACTGTTGATTCAACTGAATTATTAACAGAATAAATGAACCGGGCAACTTGTTCCTCATCCTTCAAATGTAACTGAAAAATTCATAATTGCTACAACTTTCATGTGCTGTAGGACTCAATAATAATGAGACAAGTATGTTTTAAATACTAATAACCTACTAATAACCATAAGGAAAAAACAGTTTTCACAGAGAGTTTCTCATTCATATACTGTCACATCTCACCTTCTACGGTACTTTTGCCCTCTTGGGTATTTATTTAACATTTTAGGTGCACCAAATAAAAATCTAACTTCTCAGATTAAACAGTCTCTGTTTCCAACCTGACAAAAACTATTCGGACAGTTTATCTAATTTTCCAGTTGCCTTAAATTATGTAGATAAAATTAGCAGTTTGTAAGTTATAGCAATAAGAGAGTAAGAGGAGGATGGAGAGGAAACTGACTGACAAGGAAATCCTAATGGATTTTTGAGATTAAGAAAAATCAAATGCTTTCTGAAGTCTTACTTTATGTTGGTGAAACAAATCACACAAAAAATCCAACAGAGACATAAGATTAATGGGAAAATGAGAAAAAGATTACTTGGTTATTTTTTTGTGCTTAAATAAGTATGGTTGGCTTTTTTATCCTTAAAAGGATGTGATTTATCCTGTGATTTTTACAGCCTGGCTGTTGAACCAACACGATGGGAGCTTTTGCAAGTACTTGATTATATTTCACACTTTCCATCCATATCTTCTGTTCCTGCAAGGAAGGGGCTGCTGGCCCCAGATGCTGAGCAGAAAGTTGGGTCCATCCCTGATGCATGGTTGTTCACCTGTCCCAGGCATCACCAACCAGTGGTTTTGGTGCATCCCCTGGCTTCCATCTTACCCACAGCTTTCTAATCTCCATGATCTCTCCCATTTTAAGGACTTTTCCTCCAATCAGGAACTTCACCTTTTTCCATTTGGGTCCCCCTCCTTAGTTTCAAGAACACTTCCTCCTGGAACCCCACACAAGCCACTTCCCTTGAGTCCAGATGTTTGTAGTCAGACTCCATGATCCCAGGGAGCAAAAAGCAAGCTTCTACTTGAGACCCTGAAGATTTGAATTTGATCACTAACCTTCACACATACACTCAACTACCTGGTACTGGTAGTATTCATAACTTAAACTATTTTTTTTTTTTTTTTTGCCAACAGGACTAGCTAATATGAGCCTGATTTCACTTTCAGTGAAGACAATTGGATTAATTTTACTTGTTTCAGGAATTTTCAGTAATAGTATTTTGCAAGAGCTGATTATTTGTTGCACATAAATGCATTTTTCTGAAGTGGTTCAGCTAATCCATTACAGTTATTTGCCCACTGGATTCAATTATTTCATGTGTGAATCAAACTTTTCCAAAAATGTTGCTAGTATAAAAAGCTCCAGAAATGTTCATATGTATTACAAATCTCATGCTCCTGAACAGAATTAAGGAGATAAATGCAATTTCGAGCTTTGTTGGAGTTATTGGAGGGAATCATGGAACAAAAGAAATATATGATACATTTTGTTAGCTTATGGACTACAATCATTTTTATATAACCAATTTATTTTATTAAGTAATAATAAGCTACTGGGTCAAGGAACTAGAAACTAGAACACCATGGCCATCTTAAATGCTATTAGTTCAAGCTACAGGAAAAAATTAATCAGTATACATACACAATTTTAGGCATGTTTGAGTGACTCATTTTTTAGTTATTTCTCAGTATCTATAAATTGACCAGCAAGAAGCTAAATTATTTCACTGGTAAAATCTTACAGAGATTACTATATCTAAGAAAGTGGCAAAACTCTGATCGTTCATAATCCTTAGTTTTCAATGTGTTATGTAATTAGGTAATATTCGGGTATTTTGATAACATTATAAGATGATGCAAAAAATCTAGACCTGTACAAAGAAAAATTCAAAATATTCCACTATGAACAAAAAAACATACTATTTTTGTAAAATCCTTCTTTCAGGAACTCTAAACAGTACTTAACATTTCCTTGTGGGATTTGATTTCAGACTGATGCAGATAAGCAGACAGCTGGCATAGATGATTTCAGCCAAAATTACTACAGTTTTGACAAACTTTCAATTAACTGAAACACAGTTTGACTTGAAAAGTAATAATGTGCTCTTAGCCTTGCTCATAATTTCAAAGCTAAGACTCTGGCAAGTACTAAAACTTTTCCAGCAGAGGCACAGGATATCTGCAATTTTAAAGGCGATTCTTCAGTAATATGTGCAACATATGAAAATCTCTCCTTGATGCAGAAAATTTACTTTTAAGAAAATACTCTTATTGCTTCTTTCCAGTGCTGGCAAGTCAAGAAAATGGCAAAACTAAATAAGCTTCATATGTGATTGATTTGTAGTATCCAGTTTATAAACACAAAGCATTCCCCACAAATATTGCAAACCCAAAGCACTTAAGTCTTGATGAAGTTTTCCAAGGAGCTGTCAAAAGTTAAATTATTGTTTCAGCTTTAGATTCAGCCTCCTAAGAGACAAATGATGCTAAACAGACTTGGTTGGTGGTGGTTTTTTTGGTTTTTTTTTTTTTTGGTATCAGGCAAAGGGACAATAGGGAAGAGGGAGAAGGAGAGGGAGCTGTTCCCTCATTTACAGCTGTACTGAGACTCTGATAATGAGAACCCATGGGAGATATATTTTCCCAGCGAGGGCTCAGCTCACAATGGATTTTAAGATTAGGTCGCACACATGTGCAAAACATTTTGCTTGAAGAAACGACTCAGAATAAAATGACAGATTTTTGTGCTTATTTTGCTTCTTATGTGAAAGGGAAAGTTCAAGACAGATTATTATTATTATTTTAGGACAGCATATCAGATATCTTTGACAGTTGCCCTGATTTAGTAACCTGCAACTCCGGGGTAAGGGAATCAGACACTCATACCTGGCATCAGCAGGAGCCAAGCATCTAATTTCCTCTGGCTCTTCTGAAACCCCAGCATACATTTCTCAACTAACTGAAAGCAGATCCTCTTTTACCATAATGCAGAGAGATTTCTTTTTGCATAGTACAAACATTCTTTGGAACTTCATTTACAACTACATATAAAAATATATTGTTATATGGCAATAAGATTAAAACAAGTCCAAATGCATGCAGAGAAGAGTGATAAAATTAACATCAAGAAATCACTTTTGAAACACTGGCCTAAAAGCAACTGGCATCAAAGTTTAACACAAGTATGTTACAAGATTTAAGATTTACTTCAGCATGAGAAGAACAAAGCTATACGGAATTGTATAATATGTGATGAAGATCATAAATACATAAGAAATATATAAATAATATAATAATCTGTGTGGTAAATGCGCTTATTTCCCCTACATTTATTATTTTCACTGGTACTCAAACCCCCAGATAGAAGAGGCTTCAAAGACAAACTATTTATAAGCTAAATAAATCCTATGAAGAGCTATTTTGTTATGATAGAAGAGTTTAGCTCATGAGGCACAGATAATGTAAAAACATTTTCTGAGCTGTCCAAAAGCCCAAACTGTATTTTCTTGCATTGACTGAAAATAAAACATCTTCTTTTCCAAGACTTTCTCTAACAACATTGTTTTTTCTACCACTATTCCAGATTCCTTTGTAAACATACTTTTAAAGTAAATTAATATCATAAGAAGAGCAAAAATGCAATTATTCACTTTCTTTACTAAATTGGCTAATTTGCTTTTAGTCAGACTTCCAGTCTTAGCTGAAAACAAATATTAAAAAGTTCAGCAGAACCAAGACACACATTCTTCTTTGCAAAATCATGTTCAAAATTATTCCTGTGTTTCTGAGATTCTACTCATATTTAGAAAGCAAGCTTTTTTATAGCAACTAAAAACTATCTAGGACTGCTGCTTTTCCCTCTCTGTTAGTGCTTTTCAGTTATGAGATCTCAAAGTACAGGTTTCACTCCACAAGTGTGGCTGAGAGCAGCCTCACACAGTCAGTGGTATATAGCAAAAATGAACACGACAGCTACTAATGATCCTGAGACTGTTGCAGAAATTTAAAAAGGCACACATACCTACAAAAATGCAAATAAGCTGTGTTGCTGAAAAATTCCTCAAAATGGTCACAGACTGCACAGAGTTCTTAGCACTGGCTGTTGCTTCAACTGGCATGTTTATGAGGAAGAAAAATGTGGAATTCTCTCTAATACATTCAACCTTCAAAAGCATTATGCTATTTGACACTCTGTACCCATAAATCTGATCCTCCCCAAAGGTAGTGGGTATTCCAACATATTACCCACTATCCATTTGGAAGTCTTACCAAATCTGGAGTTTGCTTTTTTAAATGGGAGATTAGAGGGACTACATCTTGCCGATGATATTACTATAGAGTTTCCATAGTGGTTTGTTTATCAATGGGTCTGCTCCCTTTTTTTTTTTCATAAGTAAACTGGAACATACAATGACCATCACAGAAATCAATAAAAACAATCAAATATTTAAAATTTAAGCATAATAACCATAGATGACAGATGTTATAATGAAAGGAAGCAAAATTTTTAGTAGTACATCCTTGCCAACACAGAAGAGTCATCAAAACTGTGGCAGTACAGTTTTTGATGCTTTGTGCCAGTAAGCTAAGAGAAAATAGAACTGTCCAAGTGTCCTCAAAATGTTTTTTTTTTTTCCTCATTATACACTCAAAAGGTATAGGATTAGTTTTTCAATTAAATTACCTGTCCCAATGATCTCCAGTCTAGGCTGGCACTTCCAATGTATACGTGCTGTTTATCAACAATCCAGAACGATGACTGAAGCCGACCTTCATTATATGCTGACATGTTCATATACAACACTTCAGCACCTAGAGATTTAAGGATAAAATAATAAATGGCATTACTTAATATGAGATAATTTACATTATTAGAAGAGGAAATGACTTCGCATTTCACGAAGTTTCCAAAATTAGTGAGGGGCATAATGAAACATACCATTAAGGTTTAAAAGTAATGATAAAAATTGTTACTGTCCCAATATTTAAGATTTTAATTAACATTCATTTCAGTTATATGGAGAAATATTTATGTAATGCATGTTCCAGGTATAGGGAACATTCCCATGTGTTATAATGTTTACATAATTTCCTTCCACTTTAGAATCAAATAATTGTTTTTTTTTCTTCCGGTATTGTAAGTTCCTAAAAATAGTTCATTTCAATATTTTTATTCTGTAGAACAAACCACATATTGCAATAATGACCTTTAAAATTTGAATGCAATTAAAACCAAAAAAGTAGACTCTGCTCTGCTCCTCCTGCCCTGTGCAATGGTTTGAGCAGGTAGCTGCAGTGGTTGTGGCACATAACACACCCCAAAAAAAGGAACATGGGTGGAAAAGTAAGGAAGTAAGCAAAGGCCTAAATAAATTATGTTGAAACTGCTCTTAATGCTGCTAATCTGTGACATTCAACCTACCACTCTGAATGGCACAGTTTTATTAATGACTATAGGTCTGAAACTGAAATCAAAGGAGCTCCTTGTTGGCTCCATTGCATCACTAGGAATGTCTGAATTGGCTCTATCTGTATGTTTGCAGAACTAAATCCAGAATGTATTTAATACTAGGTAAGTTTATGGGGTTTCTCACACCATTACTGTTCTTTCAGTGCTCCAGTGCTTACAAAATTAGGTGATTAATCTGAATTAATCATTGCTGAAGGCATTTTACAGTAACCCATTCATCTTCACATTTCAGCCATGACTAACCAGGGAAGAGAACTGACAGCAAACAGGAGCCTGGGGGACAGTGATGGTACCAGCCATCTCCTATTAAACATTCATGGGGCCTCCAGTACCACGAATTCCAGTAATGTTTTAATATCACCCACAACTTAAGAAAAAAATCCAGGGTAGATAGAGAACTAAAATGCATTTCTTTTCATCAAATTTCCTATTTTTGATCTCCTTAGAAACATTTCACTTGCAATTTTAGGTAACAGTTACCAGTGCTAAGTATTTCTTTATTATTATGAAAACAGCAACTTTCCTTGAAAAATTTTTTCTAAAAGTTCAGACATCAAGAAAAGAAGAAAAACCAGGTAAAGGTGCAACTTACCATGATGCACCAGAAAAGCAAAATAACATTTTGAGCACATTACAGAGTTTGGTTCATTGGTCAGTTATATCTGGTGCAACCATCTACCTTTCCAATTTTTTTGTATGTTTCACTCACCCACATTCATCTATGCTTAGAAACAAAGATTTTTCCAATTTCCTTGGAATGTATTGCTGCTATTTTCAATTAATGCATTAATGAGCAGAACTGTGCTAATTATTGAGAAAAAGAGTGCAAAATGGAAAAGAAATCAGAAAACACTATAGCAGCTATTAGTAGTTTAAATTGTCTCCTGATGAATAAACAAAACAAAAGGAACTGCTAATGGCTAAGGGTGACCATTCTGTAAGGCACTAAATTTCCAGCTAGTGATCTGAAAACTGTGTTTAAAATCAAGTTTAACAAAGCAGTTTTCCTTGATGATGTTTTCTTTATGTGCATCCAATTTGCAGCATTGAAAAGCAGTATGAATTTAACACCCACAACATACCTACACCAAACAGGTTCTAAATGAAACGTTAGGATTTTTACATAGTAAAGATAAAACAATAGGAAGCAACAATGAGCTTCCTTCTCATAACTGACAGCCTAAAAAACCCCACAATTTAAAAACATTATTGAAATATTCAATGACAAACAAAAATGTTGACTGCCAAAGCTAAAACAGGAGACTATTTAACTGATAATAGTAACATTAAAAATAGCAGACATCATCAGTAACTTGACACAAAATTCAAAAGTTGTAAAACACCCATATTTGTTGGCGTGGGTTGTTCAGACATAGGCATAAGCAGTGGGATGGGACTATTACTCTAAAATATAATCTAGGCTTTAATTACCAAAATATTGAATATAGCAGTACAGAAGATACTACTGTCACATATACCAGAAAGATCAAAACCTGGAACCCAATTTCCTTTCCTTTTGGAAACAGCCAACTAGTAAATGAAGAGGTGAGGAAGCAGTATTTCCCAGTTAATTAAAAAAAAAGTCATTTGTTGCAAACAGCAGCTGTTGTGCAGCCTATTAATGAGTCTTTACCTTTTGAAGAAAGGAAATGTGTATCAGCGTTGATAATTGCCTGTATTCCAGAAGCCCCTGAGATACTTAAAACAGGCTTATCAAGCCTTCAACACAATCCACTATCCCTAGCGTGGTTCAGGTCCCATGAGGAAATTAAATTGGACCAATCAATATTTGAAACCATAACAGAACTCTCTGTCATGCTGCAGTCTCAATTACACAAAGCTGTGAGTCTACGGAGTTCAACCAGGAGGGCACATTTGTAGGCTTGATTGCTAAAAAACTTGCCAAATAAATCTAACTATTTTATTTCACTGGAGATTAAAATTCAGGATGAGAACTTAGAGAAAACCAGTGCTGTCACTTAAAACTCAAGTGGATTTGTCTGTCCCTTAAAATTGCGCATTCTAAGGGCTGGGACAGATGACATATTTTCTGCAGAAAAAAAAAAAAAAAAAAAAAGAGAGATACTGTAGAGCTCAAAGCATGTTGTTAGTAACAGACATTTATCAGAATATCAGAATATTTTTCTTCTGGGTGGGGAATTTTTTCACGCTGTATAAGGTAGATGACTGATGCAGTCTGGGATGCATGGAGGTGACCCCACCATTGAGAGCCTGGACCTTCTGCATGCAATGTGAACACAGCCCCTGGGAAGTGCCAGACAGCAACTTAGCCTCTAGCTTTGTCTCATAACAGCGGAAGAACACAGAAGGTATCAGTAGTATTGCAAGGACAACTGACTTTTCATCCATTAAAAAAAAAAATCCAACTCCCAAAGTAACCCAAAAAAAAGGGATGGTCAAGCAAATGTCATTTACAATTTCTAGCCTGTTTGGTCTAGCTGCCTGCTCTTAGATACTTCACTAACAATGTCTGAAAGATACACAACGACTTCAAGAATAGGAATTTGAAGGGAATTGGGATTATTCAACCTGGAGACAACACTTTATGGTGACCTAACTGTGGCCTTCCAGTGCCTGAAGGGAGCCTACAAGAAGGACGGAGGTGGACTTTTTGCAAGAGCAGGCTGGAAAGATGGAAGGACAAAGGGGAATGAATTCAAACTGAAAGAGAGTAAGTTTAAATGTGGTATTAGGAGGAAACTCCTTACTGTGAGGGTGGTGAGGCAGTGGAACAAGCTGCCCAGAGAAGTTGTGGATGTGCTGTCCCTAGAAGTGTTCAAGGCCAGGTTGGATGGGACTCTAAGCAACCTGGTCTACTGAAAGCTCTCCCTGCCCATGGCAGGGGGGCTGAAACTAGCTGATCTTTAAGGTCCTTTTCTACCCAATCCGTTTAATGATTCTATGAACCAAAAACTAGGACATTTTTTTACTTATTTGAGGCAAAGCACTAAACTCTAAGCAGTACCTTTTGATCAAGAGCTCATCCCATGCATGCTGTCATGAAAACCTGTGTCAGACACATTCCTGGCACAGCTGTGTTGTGGCTGTGGATTTTACTGCTGCTCAAGCAAGGTCACCAGACAGCTACACAAACTGGGAGATTCTTCTTAGTAGGAGAGACTGCAGGAGGTCAGAACTCACAGGGCTGCCACATGGCCTCCACATCAAGTTTATGCAACAGTCTAGAGAAGGTGCACCTTCTTTGGAAGTCTTCAGTTTCTTGAGGCTTTGGATCCAACATCTGTGAGCAGCTTAGGATATTGTCCTTGTACTGAGGCAACATCATTATGCCAAATCCTCTTACTGGTGGATGCAGTAAATAATTTTTTGTAAGGAAGACCTAGAAAGAGCAACTATTTAGGCTGCTATTATCACAGCTGCCTTGAAAGCAAACATGCAAATTCTACTTGCCACAGTTTTCAGCAGTACCACTTACAGGCTAAACTCACTCTGGAGTTAGCAAACATAACGCCCAAGAAACAGAAGTTGCATTTGCTTGTACCATGCCTAAAATTGGTCTTCTGTCTTCACAACTTTCTTACTTTAATTAAAGTGTTTCTAAAATCAGAGAGAAATAAACACAATGCAGACCACTTTAGGAGTAAAAGGAGAGCCAGAGTTATCTGGGAAGTCTGTATAGATACAAATGTCTCTTTCTCTACATTTTGCAATATATGCTTTAGCTTCATTTATTTGCTTTTGATAATAACCTTTAGCACAAAGCACACCCATGAATAAACATAATTTTTATTCTATTGAGACAAAAATTCAGAGTTTTCAATACAATTGGTCACTAGTGGTGGAGTAGCTGTCTCATTTGGGGTAGACACAAGTGACCCAGGTGGAGGATCACCTCCCCATGAATTTTCAAGCTTTTTCTCAACTGACTGCAAGAAGTATGGACTTCTTCCAGAAGCCCCATTACTGTGACCTGCCCCCACTCAGAAGAGGACAAGTACAAAAGCTGAAGAATGCACAGCTTGAAAACAAAGTTATTTTTACTAAGTCTCTGAATGATTAAAAGATAAACTAGACTATTTACTATTTCTGTGCTCTTTATGGAATATTGGATTTGAAATGCAATTTAAAAGTTTGCGTGGCTCAGATAGATTAATGATCCAGATTTATTTTAAAGAGATAATACTCAAGGACTTTTAGGGAATTCTCTGGTGTTAATACCTTAAGTTTGAATCAGCTGTTTTGTTTACATTGCCCTCTGCTTCTCTCTCTCTAACACACATCCCCCTGTCCTTTTAAAAACTATCAGGACTGAATCCTGTCACTCTAGGATTATGTGCTATTCATCAGTCTAAAGACACAG